TTTTCTAATAACTCAACCATACGTTCTTACTGCAACTTTACAAGTTCATTTATCTTCGATAACTTCCTAACGAATAAGTTCAGGGCACAAGTATGTTGGTACTTTTATGTACAACATAAGAAACTACATTTCTAGGTTTCCATTTAAAGAAAGGTACAGTTACATTTTCAACGGTAACTTTTCTGTAGCCATTCGATTACAATAATTCATTTGGACAACCTAAATAAATCTGTTCTCGTAATATATTATTTTATAATGGAATCTCTTTACTTTCCATTTCTAAACATTTTCTTCGATACTGCTTCATGTCGATGAAACATTGTCATTTCTTTTGATTCTTAATTTCAATCGAATTATTTCAAAAGTGTATTATTTAATATTCTTCGGTAATACGTACCGATCATTCTTCTTCACCTTCCAGTTGATAATGATAGCGGCGTAAAGCAGCTAAACGTAATCTTCAGTCTCCAAAGCTTCTTCCGATTCCAAAACATCAACTTGTGCCTCCATCTGTAAATCGTTCAAAATATTCACTCTTTCTAATACTTAACAACTTTAACGCTTATTTTCTTTATCATCCTTATCCAAATAGTGTATAACGAGTAGTAACTACAATTACCATTCTCTTCCACAAGATGGCCACAGTTTTTAGCAATTGCAACAACACTTCCAGTTGCTTGTGTTACGTCTCTCGATGCCTCTGACAGTGCAGCCAAGTTATTGCTTTTACTCTGCTTCTCTACACGCGTAAACAAATTTTACGGTTTAATAACAAACAAAAACCGAAATAAATCCTCTACACTTACCATAAAAGATTACCACCAAATGCAACCGCCTTCGCTGCTGATATCAGCCCTTCGGACCATTGATGGTTACGTTTCTAGAATTCGGTTCCAGAGGCTGTGCCCTACGATTCAAAATCTCTTTCCATATTTAATATTCATAAATTAAATATTAACGGTCAAAATAAGCGACGTACCTTTCCTTCTTCCATTAATTCTGTACATGAATCTAACATTTTTCCGTTCACTTCTAATTTTAACCCGGAATCACCAGCGCGAGATTTCTCCACCATGTCCTGATCATAAAATATGTCATAACCATGGATAAAAACAATTTATATATTACACTAAATGTAATATGCGATTACCTGTATTCGATTACCAGCTTCTTCTATTGCTTTATCCATACTTAACAATTCTGCCTCTACCAAACTTCCAACTCCCAACTGTTTACATTCGTCGGTCGATTCTACAACACGATAAAATTCAAAATAATATCTATGACTTTCTTCATTTTTTTTCTTCTACATTTTTTAACTTTCGTAACTTACTATCGCCCGATGCAATATCAATAGATGTGTTTCATGTAGATTTTCCATGTATTGAATAAAGACCCAAAACATATGCAACGTGTATTGCACTTTTAATGAGTATTGAGGAGTACAAGTTAGGTCTGACGTCGCTGGATTATCGATACCGTTTAATGAATATTCGATAATATCTTCTGCTTCGGAGATGCAATTTACTGAAATAAAAATACACCTTTCTATCAGAGATATCAACATAAACCATTCACCATTTTATTATCGAATAAATTTAAATACTTACGCAATAATTCATACAACATGGTATCGGCATGCATATTCGTTTCATTACGGCACCGTTCACCTTCAACTTCCAATTTCCCCATCTTTAAATCTCATTCTTCTTTCTCGGCTAATAAATCATGTAGATCGCCTTCTAAAGCCGTTTTTTTACAAGTTAGAAAATCATTTTTCCCAATCAACGCCTAAAATATTACACTTTTACCGGAACGAAATAAAAATAGATAAGAAATCAGGAAGTAGTTATTTAGTCTCGGGTCTATTTTGACCCTTTTCTACGGGTCTATTTTGACCCTGCTCTGTGGGTCCATTTTGACCCGGTTCCACGGGTCTCTTTTGACCCTTTCCTGCGGGTCTGTTTTGACCCTAAAGCCGTTTTTTTACAAGTTGTAAAATCATTTTTGCCAATCAACGCCTAAAATATTACACTTTTACCGGAACGAAATAAAAATAAAATATAACCGTAAATCTAGTAAAAGAAAGGTATTAACCAAATTTTCACCTTTCGTGGTATTTACTTCTTCTATTATATCGTCCATATCCTCTTGTCCTTCGATAGCTTTTCGAGCTTCCTGTTCAGTTATATCTTCACCTTCTATTAACTCGTCCAGTCGGCGTTCCGCTAAAAACGGTTCGACGTTCCGATTTTTCTTCTCACATTTTTAATAACCCAATTTGCTTCTCCACTTTGGCTTTCTGTTACATAAGAGGATACACGTAACGAGCATCAATATTTTCTTATGATATTAAAAACTATGAAAATTACAATATTCCTACCTTCCTGATTAAACTGACTCGTTATGCACTCTTATCGATATATAACATCCAGATATCTCGAGACGAGAAGCGACGTCATAGAGCGTGACACTGAAAAAGTACAATGATATCCGCGTCGGAAATGCTTCTTACGAACTAGCATAAGTAAGCACTTTTATATTTTACGGTCAAAAAACGATATCCAAAAGTGAGTGACTATTTTAGATAAGAAATCAGGAAGTAGTTATTTAGTCTCGGGTCTATTTTGACCCTGTTCTAAGGGTCTATTTCGACCCTGTTCTATGGGTCTGTTTTGACCCTTCTCTACGGGTCTATTTCGACCCTGCTCTGAGGGTCTATTTTGACCCTGCTACTCTAAGGGTCTATTTTGACCCTGTTCTTCTTTAAACCCGAGGAAAATGGAGAGTATGGCTCCATGCAAGGAGATTGTATTAACATTTTCTATTCGCACTTTATTTAAGTTTACCTTTCCGCTAATGCATCCGGAGAGATTGAACCGTTTCGCGTAGAATCTAATTGATCGCCTGGTAATGAACTCGTATCGGAAGTATCGATGAGACTATCCACCACCGTATCGGTATCTAAAGATTCTTCTGGTGGCGATACCACCCTCGGCGTCATGTACGTTCGTAACTCGGATTGTATCAAAAAGTTTGGTGGATTCTTCAGCTTTTATGAGCATTTTATGGCAGAAACCATTCCTTCGTATCCTACCTATGCTAATCCTACCGGATACTATAGCATCCGGATAAACGTTATAGAGATTATCATTGTTTTAAGAAATCACTAAATTCTGTTTAAAAATAAATTTAATTCGAAAAATCTTACCTCGGGTAACGCAGGCGTCGTTATAAGATGCTTAAAATACTGTCTTTGTTTTACGGTGTTGTACAACTTCTTCGGTTCATAGAATTGTTTCGACAATCGGTCACGATGGCCGGCTAAAGTGTCCGCTGGTAGTGTGTTATCAAGTTTCAACAGAATTTTCACACAATAATCGTATAACTGCGACGCGTCTGGAACGCACGGAATTAGTGGAGCCGGTCGACATTGTCCACTGACGGTCACTGACAATTTGACCGTGTATTCTTTAATGATGCACTAACTGAAATCATTAACGTAACAGTGATACATGAATACATAAAAACACATAATATTATTGGACCGTCTCTCAGGCTTGCTCGGGGAATACCTCCTCCTGATTCTCTCTTGTCTCTCGAGGCCCCAGGGAGTACCTAGGGACAAATTCCCTATAGCATCCCGGCCTCTCTCAACGGTTGGCATCGGCGCCAATCGCGCCATCTGCGGGAGTAACTAGGAAGTTACTCTAATAACGCATTGAAAGTTTAAAGCAAATTAATCGGCAAGGCCAAGGCTCGCTCGATCGCGACTCCTCTGGACTCGTCTGGTGGCGAGCATGGGTGGCGACATATGTTCAATAAATATGTTCATAATATTTAAACGAAATTCAGAACAATTATATTCGTTTAGAATATATCACTGTGGTTCTTTAAGGGAGGCTAGGATTGTTAGGAAGTAGGAGAGGCGAATCAACACTTGAGAATGTTTTGAAAGAAATAGGAGATCGATGGTACTTACGTATAATCATACAATTCCGTATTCTGCAAAATGTAGATTGTAATTAGGTACTGATTAATGTTAATAAAAGACCTATAAATTTATAATTGCGTTTTTTCTATTATAACCCCAAACATTTAGTTTTAATAACAATATAATTATCTCGATTGTTCGTAAGTAGCACCAGAAATCTTTATTTAAAATTACAATTATTACATGTGTAACTATAAAAGTGATATATGTCAAATATTTATTCATGTCAACACATTTACATAATATTACAAATACGAAGTAAACTGTAACAGCAGTGACAGCTTTAAGGTTAGGTCCAGCGCCCGGCAACTATCACTGTGAACACAGGCTGTGCGAAAATTTGAAAAAAAACATTCTGTGTGCCTCGAATTACGACCACTAACGCAAACTAAAAAATAAACTTTCATATTTCTCGATATATTATCCGTAAAGTATTATCGATGGATGAATGAAATTTTCCAAACAAAAATTTCAAATCATTTTAAAAGAATTATTTCTAGTTCCGGGGATCAATTACAACAATATCATTGTTGGTCGACAGACATACCTTCGAAATCCTTCTCCTATGCGCTTTCGAGAAAAAAAAACAAATAATCATGCATTAAACGTTTCTAAATGATTTAAAACTGCAATTCGCTGATTAAAATGGTCTTTTTATATTACACATAATAATGTTTATACATATATTTACATTTGAAGTGAGAACATGAAATGGTATTATACAATAAGTATAGTTGTTAAGTGCACAATGGATATTGTACAATGATAGAAGGAAACCTATCTAAATATTTATTCACGATCTTAATATTACAAATCCTAGTTCAAAAATGGTAAAAAAAAAAAGAAAGATGTCTAAATTACAGAACCATAGCTACATAACTGCATTCAACTGCAGAATGAAATGTTCTCTTAATTCATTTGTACTAAAATCGTCACCGTCGTTATTCTCGTCAAAAATGTCTTGTACAGTTCCTGTTACAGTCTCCGCGCCATCGTATTCGTTCGTTTTAACGATAGAATCGGCAAGTTCGGAATCTTTTTCATCCGTTTCCGATTCATTGTTCGTATCTTGTGCTTTCTCCGTTTTGATGTTTAACTTTGAAGTAGAATTATGCGCTTTATCTGTATCGCTTTTAGTATGATCTATTGCTGAATCTTCGTTAAGAACACCTTTACGCAATGCTGGTAGCGGTGGTAATGGAATACCATAAGAAAGTAACTTATCATACCCATTTCTTCCGCAAGTTTTTCGAATATCCGCCGCCATGGTCAAAGCTCTCTCCGAAAATTCTTGTCTCGAACTATCGATTAATATTTCATTGAATTTGCTCATTTTTTCGTCCAGAAGTTTTCTCCTCCTCATAATAGTTTGCATATTTAACATTTTTCTTCTGTACGTGTTTGTATTTTTCTCTGCCCTTTCCAGGTATTTAGAGGCCTTCTCCAATTTCCAGTTCAGTTCTTTGATTCTATTATCTTTTTGCCTCATTTGTCCTTCCAGTTTTCTTTTCTGCTGAGATTCCAGCGTCACAGTTTTCATTAGTTTTTTATTCATTTCTTCAAAATAATTCACCCTATTTGATAAATCTTCGATCAATCTTTGTTTAGATTCTAAAACTTTCTTTGTAACCACCGAAGATTGTACGTTGCTTGACCTTGTAAGAATTCGAGGAATCGTTTCTACTTCTTTAATCTGTATATCCTGGCCCCCGATCTTCTTATTTCGCAAATTGTTTTCCAATTCTTTATAAATAATCAACTGATCGGTTAATTTTCCAATTACATCTTCTTGAATTTCTATTCTCTCTAATAAATCTTCACAGTCGCCGGTAACGGGACATCTGGTATCATTTTCCACACGAGTTTCACCACTCTGCATACAATTCTGCAACTTGGAATTACTTTTTATCTGACATTTCTTCTCATCGTCGGAACAAATATGTCGCAAACACGAGGACCGACGACACTTTTTAGAATTACGAACGGAATCGAAACTTGGAAATTCTTTCTCCTTGCAAGGAGAACAATTTATTATAGTGTCTTTTTTTGTTGAAGTTGCAAAGTCTCCTTTTATTAATGGGTTACTGAAATCATTGAAAGTTACATCTTTCTGATTTTTAGACGACAGTACTGTTATAACGGACGTAACGAATGTATTATTTTCTTCGTTTTTACAAATGGAGCTCAAGTTTTTAGATGATGTTTGACTCCCGACTATCGAATTTGATGATAATTCTTCGATAATTTCAGTCACATCGTCAGGATCACCAGTTATTTTTATAATAAATTTAGCTGTATCCATTTCGAAACTATTTCTTTTATTAACATCGTTTACTTGTTGCGAAAACATTGATAGCTCATTTCTTATTTCCGTTTCTTGTTCCAGGCTATCCGACAAATTGCTATTAGTCGACGAATTCATATCTTGATCGGAGGTGCTTCTAATTGATTTCTTTATCGACTTCATTATCTCTTCTCTGGTTCTTTTTTTACGCTTCATAGCTGCTCTTATATTTGGTATAACATGCACTTCATCCTTGCTAAAATTTTCTTCTATATCTTCGTTAAAAACTTTCTTCTCGTCTTTGATAGAAATTATTTCATTATATCCCGAAACACCGTCCTCTGCTTTATTCATTCTCGATGTAATTTCAGGCACAGACACTTTTTCATCTCCACTTTCGGTGCCAAAAATTATTTCAACATTTTCCTCCTTGTTTCTAACGGTGTTGTGTTCAACTTCATTTTTTCCAGGAAAATTCTCATTTCTATTAACGGACAGCGTCATTTTACATTTATCGTTATTAATATCACCGTTTCCATCTATCGTTTCTACATCTTCGTCTTCTTTCTGACTTTTGATCGTAAACTTTTTCTTCCCGTTGTTCTTATAGTTATCATCTTCCGTAGATCCTCCGTCGCAAATCTGTTTCAACTTCTCCTCGATTTCATCGTAACTATCCTCGAACGTATTCTGATCCATAACTTCTAGTTTAATCTCTTTTTTCACAATGGCGCTCGATAATAAATTTTCCGAGTTCTCGATCATTAAGGATAATCCAATTTCTTTCTTATTATCGTTCATTTGTGCATCGAGATTATCGTCTTCTACGGGGCCGCTAATGTCTACGATATTATCCTCCGCGATCATAGTGCTACTACTTTCTTCGACAAAATCAGAATTAACACTTTCTTTCTCCTCGTCCTCGTCCTCGTCCTCGTCCTCCTCCTCCTCCTCGTCTATACGCTTAGGAACATATTTAAACTTATTTTCAATAAACTGAATAGATGGTTCGCAAAGATCTTGAAAATCAGAGTCCTTTTCTTCTAGATATTCCGTAGACGAATGCTTATTATCATCGTCATTGTCCACGTACTCTACGCTATATTCGCTTTGCAATAAGTTCTCTTCTTTGATACCGATTATCTTAGTTCTCTTTTTGGGAGACTTTCTGGTAGATGTTATAGTAAATATGGAAGGGATAGCGTTTTTTCTTAATCTAATCCTCCCGCTTTGCGTTATGGACCATTCCTGGGGCTCGAAATGTACATGACAAAGGAATGAATTGTTCGATGGTTCCCAATCGGCCCTGGCTACACGTTCTTGCCAAATTTTTCTCAGTTTTGGATCACGTGGAAAACATTTCATAATATAACCTTTTTCACTACGATTGTTGCAGCCAACCGCTGCACAGCCTGGCATATTTAGACATCCAGAGACTATTCGGTAATCTGTAAAGTTATAAAGAGAAGAAAAAAAATGATTGCACTTTTGCGGAAAACCTAACCAATTTCATACCGGTGTCCTTTCCAATAAAATTTCAATAATCTAATTAATAAATAATTACACGCATATATTATATAATTGATGCTTTTAGAATTGGAAATAATACAAAATACACATGACGCGAACGAAAGAAAGAAAGAAAGAAAGAAAGAAAGAAAGAAAGAAAGAAAGAAAGAAAGAAAGAAAGAAAGGAAGAAAACCATTCATGCTTCTCGAGTTCTGTACGATACTTAAGAATGTGTTTAAAAATATTTCTTCGAGTAAATCCAACCTTTGTTTCTGTGCCAACACTGCTGTTCTCGAGTGAAAAAGCGATCGAAACGGATCAACGGATCGTATACAAAACATTGTAAAAACTGTAATGTTCAGCCGGTGCGTTACGTTGTACGTGCGTATTTCAACGACGAATAATTTCAAACGCTTTTCGAATAGTTTGTATAATTGTCGACCAAGGAAAACAATTTCTTTTGCACACTCTAGTCCTCCTATCGGCAGCGTACGGTGTGAAAGAAGCCGAAACTCGCTCACCTCTCAGCCATTGGCTTTACTCCGACTCCATTGTTACAAGAAACTTTTAAATCTGCAAATATGATATTCGCTCACCACCTTTCATTAATATCGTTACAAACTCGTGCAATTTCCTCGATAGATTTTAAACAAATTAAACACATAAATTACACATGAACGTTACCACTGGCAGTGGCAATGGCATACGCGTTTCGAGATCAATTTCGACTTTCAACGCAATCGAGCAGCGAGCTATCTCGACGTAATATGGCCGCCTCCAGGGCCGACGGTCGCATAGGTTAACTTTTACATTTCGTTATCATATTAGATTAAACATATCCTCGATACATGCATTCTTTAATTTTATTCTCCTCGCTTCCCAATTATCCTCTATCTAATCATCATTATATATCATTCTTGATTATAGAAATTCGATATAGAAAATTATAGTATAGTATCTATAGTATCTATACATACTTTCCAACATACACATGTATCGTATGTATAAAGCTTGGAATTGTTTGCATGCACTTATTTCTATACACGTTCCACTCTGTTCGATGTTTTATAACGTCCGAGTATGCATTTCCGATTACATCACACGAATAAACATTTAACGTAACTTGTATCTCATTTGCTCGATAGATTGATCAAAATTCGATACACTATTAAGAAACAATGGTTGCTCGTACATACATTTATCGTATCCATTCTACTCTACTTTTATAATGTTTTGCGATAGGGTTAGTATTTAAATAGCGGCTATTTATCCCACAAATAACGGCGGATACGCATTAAACGTTCAATTTGCCAATTTTCTTATGCCCCGTTCTTTTGTATAATTAAACAAGTTGTGAATAATACCTTTCAACCTGTCGTTTAAATCACAAATAAATATGCAGGTTTACACGTACAGCATGTAGGTTTACACGTACGAGTTATGTCTGTCATAAATTCGGCCTACGTTCGATCAAAGTATCACTTGTTAAAAATTTCATTTGTACAAAGTGAGATATAACCCGATCAACGATATATATTTTGAGAAAAATGACAACTTTAAACAACATATTGAAAGCCATAGAGGCTCTGAAAACAACTCAAGACTCGAACGTTGTTATGTCAGATTCGAGTACAAGGTACACGAACAAATTCTTATTTTTTTCTTTTCATTTATTTCTAAAGATTTACTTTCAATTTAAGGAAAGATAAATTAGCATGTTGCGCGGCAATAGCCGAAGGAGTATGTTCGCAAAATGCAAAACCAGGAACCAAGTTTCATCAGGTTCTTACTCTTTCCATTGAAACATTATTGACGTTGTGCGATGACGATGAATCTGATATCAGAACAGTAGCCGATGAAACTTTGAACAAGATTATAAGGGTATAATATTTATATTCTATATTTTTTAATAACGTCCGTCGTAATAACGGAAATAATATTGTTGTTAGGCCATGACCGACGGTAATATCGTTAAAGTTCAGATAGAACTTTACAACAAAATAAAAGGAAACGGACCGGCTAGAACATTGAGAGCCGCTCTATGGAGATTTGGACTTCTCAGTCATATGATTCGACCTACAAGGGGGAAAGCTTACGTATCTAATCTGATACCGTGCATAGTAACTATCGCACGACGGCCCGAGGAAGCTGTAATAGAAACATTGTCCCAATCGTTGCCGCTAATTATGAAAGCTTTAGGGCCATTTATGACGGACAATGATGTTAAGGTAATTTATTAAAAAGAATCTTCTCTCAGAAAAAACAGCAGCTATTAATACGTTTATATCGGTGCTTTTAGACTTTAGCGAAAGCATTCTTTGAAAATGTATGTTCGGTGGAAGCGGCATTTCGCAGGGCTTCTGCAAATATGATTCTAGCAACGTGTTTGAATTGCAGAAAGCCACGATACTTTTTAAATTATGTATTGCGACATCTTCTAGGTAAATAATAGTGTTTATGCGTTACGCGTAAGTAAGTACAAGGGAAATTTTTAATTAAAATGTTACCTTATCGCAGATATTATAGTGCCGATAAAGAAAGACGAGGGTCGCGTGGCTACTATTATCGGTATATTTGGATGTACAAGAATAATTTTACCCTATCTATGCAATCCTTTGGAAGTTGAAGATAACGAGACGGAACAGATAGATAGCTTGTTAGAAGTTTATGAATTATGTTTACATTATACAAAATGGCATTCCGATCATAATGTTATAAATGCTGGTTTGGAAACTTTGACGCAACTTTTAAAGTCACCTCCGAAAGCTCTAGTACGTTTGTTGTTATCGAACAAAGGTACAACGTGTAATAGGATAGTAGTAAATCAAAATGAAACAATGTTATCGTTAAGCGAAACGAGTACCTCTGGTGCTATTACCGCTCCTTGTTGCGAAAATTCGGGATCTTGTTTAAATTTACTTGAATCCGATGATGTGGCAGACGTGAATCCGAAAATAGAGAAACTGATATTAAAGTTAGATTCCGATGTTGCGCGTCCTTTGGCACAGAATTCACAAAGCCAGAAGGAATGTTCGAGCGATATTATGGAAATGAAAGGGAAGATAATGGAAAATTACAGTGGCCCGACGATTGGAGTTATCGACGACGGTAAGAGAAAGTGTACAGTGTACCGAATTGACAGTAGACTGTGGAAAGTAATTTCGCCGTCTAGACAACTACGGCGATTATCCCGACGAAGAAGAGATCACATCGGTCGTCTGGGTTTGTTCCGTACAAATGACGTCGTTTTGTTTTGATCGCAGTGGTTGTGATTCTCGACCAATCGTCGAAACGATATCGAGCCACGATCGAGAGCGACTGTAAACATACACCAGGATTATTCCCGCGATGTTTCGACGGCGGGATTTCTTTCGCATTCACTGGCGGGAAAAATATCACTCTGTGTAAAGGATATATTTATTATACGAAGGGTAATATTGTTTCAGACGAAGCTGTAGAAGAAGGTAGTGACGTTGGTAGCGAAATCGTAAAAGCTTACCCAAGTTTACAAAGTGAAACGAAGGATTTCGATTGTTCCGAACAAGTTGCTTCATCTATCGTTTCTTCTAAAAAGCTTTCTTTGGATTTCTCGTCGCGCGAAATAGACATTGGAACTTTTACGGATCCTGACATACCTTTGAAATATTGCTGCCGTTATTTGGTGTCGTCTTTTCTCTTAACTGGCAATGTTGGCCACGTAATGCCGGACAAATATTTTCGTGTTAGTGTAAAATCTCTTGCTCTAAACTGTGTTGCTTATATTTTAAAACTTTTCCCGGACATGTTTTTAATGCCTGTTGCCAAAGAATCGAATTTCACCGAGAACGAACAAATGATAACAGATATATTATTGTTTGCAAATCATCCAGATCCTCAAATTAGGGGTAATATATCGATCATTATCGGTACTTTTTTAAAATCTGTATATACTCAATACGGTGAATCTTTTAAAAATTTTCAAGCGGAGATCGGAAAAAAGGATATACATGGAAGCGTGTCGTTGGAAAAGTTAATAACGTTACTTTTAAAGGTAAACGTTTCTATCGGAGCCTTCTTCCGAATTTCTCAAACATTTCTATTCTCTGAAGAATGTTGATTCATCCATGATTTTAAAACAGGGATTGGAAGATGATTCCGCCACGACGTGTCGACAAACGCTAACAGCGTTTAGTTTGTGTTTGCCAGAGTTGTTGGAATCCGTCGACAATAAATATGGAATCACTGTGTTAACTGCATTACCTCAATTAGTCAAAAACCCATATTTTCTGGTTAAAGTGAAATTAGTGGAATTATTGAGCGAGATATCGTATGTTACTATAGAACATATAATCGGTGGATCAATGTTCCAAGAACATTTTATCAATGTTATAATAACGCTGTTAGGCGATCAGGATCAGAGAATCAGACACGCGGCATCGGATGCTATCGTAAAGTAAGAATTTTTTACTCGTCGCTATATCGTTGCGTTATTAAGTTTCGTGGCCCCTAATTGAAAGAAAAAAAAAAACCAATACTCCTTTTTTTCAGGAGTATTCCTTTGTTACACTTTCAACAGCCACAAGAGGATGTTGTGACGAGAAAAGCCGCTCAATATACAGAAGAATTTTTGAGCGCCGTAAGCGGAAGCAGTTTCGAATTGTCTTCTTGCCAAGAGAAAGAAAAGCTGTTCGTAAAGACGTGTATAGAACCGTTTGCATCGTTAAGTACTCGTAATAGGATAGAGTGTCAGCCGAATGTGGAATACTCGTTGTCGATTATAGTTAATATGTTGGCGGAAATTCTTGGAGTACAATCGTCAAAGTATTTAGTGTACGGTTGCTGCGAAGCTCTGTTCCATTTAACCGATGTATACACTACTACGGTGTACATCAGAGGGTGGGATTGCATTTTACCAAAGACATTGTTCAAGAAATCTCGATCCTTGTTGAAAGAATCAAACTTTACAAGCGATATGATGCCATCGTCCGTTAGCAACGATCTTTTATCTTTAGCTCTACCTTTGCTATCCTCGTCCCCTATAAGTCTAGACTTGTCCACGCACAGACACTTGATTCTACTAGCTGGCAATCTGGCATCTGGTTTGGCTTTCGGCAACTTCAAACCCAACGATCCGTCGAAAAGTTGCGGTACAACGGTTAAAGAGAAACAAATAGAGCTGCTGTTGACGCACGTAACCAGAGTGTTGAATATATTTGTTCATATAATCGATAAAGTGCAGTTGCCGCAAACGAGCGGTAAGACGACGTTATCGTCTTTGACGTCCACGCAAACGTTATCCCCGAAGAGAAAAGTTGTACCTGAACACAAGTCGGGAAAGGATAAGGGGTGCGGGGAGCGAATCGGAGGTTTAAGATTTGGAACGGAACAAATGGGTTCGTTCGTCTCGGTGCCGCATTACATGAAAATGTTTGAGATTCTTAAAGCGGCGCATATGAATTACTTGGTGACTCTCGAATCGCACGCCAGCGAAATGTATTTGTCCCTGTTGAACGCGATCTTGGACGTGTTATCTCAAATTCTTGAGATTATATCGTTCAACGAGGCAGCCCAGATCACGGAAGAGGTTTTATTTTATCTGCAAAGCACAGTGGTACTTTCCCCGACCGCCACTGTCCAATGTGTTCAACAGTTATTGAAATGTTTGTGTAGCACGAACGTGTACGCACAGTGGAGCGGCGAATCGGACGGACAGAAGAACACGGATAGGGTATCGATTCTATCGAGGGCCGGTATCAATGGATTTTATAATTACTGCTTTCAAAATCCGGCAAGGCAAATGGCCGACACGATCAAATCCATGGGGAACAATTGTAGGGGTGAAAATGAACCGGATACCGGGTGAGCACACACCGATATACTTTCATTTCTACGAAACATCAATTAGATTTTCATTGCGTGAAATATTTATTTAAAATATTTCATTTCAGGTGGGTGGGATTGTTGCGTAGAAAGGGAGAGAGAAAATTTTCTTCCGTTTTTAAGAATTTGTCGCGTTCGTCGGATCAAAAGAATTCCATAGCTTCGTTTATTCGTCTGTTCGAGCCGATGGTCATACAGTCTCTGAAACAATACACGGTAACGAGTAGCGTGCCGTTACAGTGCCAAGTATTGATGCTGCTCAGCCAGCTTGTGCAGCTCAAGGTTAATTATTGTTTGCTGGATTCCAAGAGTACGTTCATCGGATTCATTCTGAAGCAATTTGAATCTATCGAAGAAGGCTATGTACAGCAGACGGAGCACCTTTTACCAAAGATCTTCAATTTCTTGGTGCATTTGTCGTACGAAAAGAATCATTCGAAATGTATAATAGGAGTGCCGAAAATTATTCAATTGTGCGACGGTCTTATGGCTAGCGAACAGCCAGCCCTTACTCATTGCATACCAGCCCTCGGGCCGGTGGTCGAAGACGTGTTCCTAGTACGAAACGCGAGCTCGAACTTGATGGAACAGAGAGAATTGGAGACAACGAGGGAGGTGTTGATTTCGATGCTGTTACGTCTCGTCGAGTATTATCAGATCATCGAACTTTTGGCGTTATGCTTGACAGAGTCTAGATTCAGCGGAGACGGTAACGGCGAAGAAAAGTGGCGTAGATGGTCCAGGCTGACGATGGACACTATTCTTCCCATGCTGGCGGCCGGAAAAGTCCAAACAGAATCCGAGAAAGCTCATATCGCTCTGATCAAACTGTTCGCGGCTATTTCTCCTACGGTTTTTCGCCCGGTCGATCCTCTGTTGAAAGTTCTGTTCGTTGCACCCGTTTCACTGGAGTCGTCGAGCTTGAGATTAAAACGATGGTTAGGAATGGTTAACGTTGTCCTGTTGTCGTTAATTTCGTGCGCGAAAGAGGAAGCAATGCTGGCTCGTCTTTCCGACCTGAGCACAAACATGACAGAGTTGTCGCAATCGTTTCTTCTTTCCGAGTCCTCTAGTCGGACTATGGATCCTCTGAACGTTTTGGGGATCCAGTCGGTCGATATACCATCGGAAAGGATATTGGCTAGATTTATATTCAAAGTTATCAGCCGGATAGGTTCCAAGGTGTATAATCTTCTTGGACTGATCGATCGGAATGTTAACGATTCGTTGGTCGGATTCGCCGAGTCCGTGGAACACGATCGTTATTTGGTCTATCAATTCGCGTTCTTCCTACAGTTGTGCATTCACATGTTCGAGTCTGGAAGTCACTGTAAAGTAGCGAACGCAACCATGCAAATGATTCAGGGTCGCAACGTCCCCGACGAGGAGAAGTTACCCATCGGCGATCTAAATTATTTGATGTTGAACATTGGAAAGAAATGCCCGACGTTAACGTGTCAGTGGGCCTATCTGATGACTCTATTGGGATTCAATGAAATGAGTTTCTGGTCGAAGGTGTTGGGTACTCGTCGCACGGAGCACGTCGTGCACGCTTCGTCGACTGCTACCGATAAAACCGATATCGATCGTCCGAGTAGTATTAATATACAGATTATTAGAAAAGGTGGTATCGTACTGTTCTGCGACTACGTTTGCGAAAATTTAAACGACGCGGAACCCCTAACGTGGTTGCTGGTCAACCACACGGAAGAAGCGGTGAACAACGCCATCGAGTCTCCGGTTAGAGACTTATTGACAGCTGCTGTACATAGAAATCCATCGGCCAGTGGTTTGTTGGTACAAGCGATCGCGACTAAATGCACAGATCTCTCACAACCCAGTTTCGTCAAGCGACTTTTGCAGTGTATAGAAGGCGCCCATCACTCCCAAAGCGGATCAGTTTTAATGACATTGATACCAACGTTACTGTCCACCAAGTATCTTGCATTGTCGAGAATGGCGGGGAAAATAGCTAGTCGAAGAGTGGAGATTTTGCTGACCACCCCTGCCGCAGACGCGACCGTCTATCTGTCGAAAGTGGATTTCGTCAAGATTATGGACACTTTGCGGTCGACTAAACTCGCCAAGAAACACGGCGGATTGGTCGGTTTGTTGAACAAACTCGGTGTACAGTATTACGATTTGTCTCCTTTGGAGTTGGATCAATGCAGACCGTTCAATCCTACCACCGTGAAGAGTATTAAATTGGACCGTAATTGGTTCTTGTCTCAGGTAAAGTTAAGATGTTGTAATCGAAACGGTGGTTACAATCCTTCGGAAGCGGCACAGTTATTGAAAGAACTAGATTTCGACGACTGCCTCGGCATACTTTCTTCCAAAGAATTCAACGTGACGATTCTAAAGCCTTGTATAATACTGGGTACTCGTGCGAGCGTCGAAAAGTGTCAGAAAGTGGAATTCGGTGTAGCGAATAACGACGAGAAAGACTCGTGGAGTTTCGAGGCCAGTTCGTTGTACAGGGCAGCGAGGCAATGCCTGTTGGAACACGTTCGCTGCGTTAACGAACTGATGCCGAAACCGCATCAGACTTACGATCCAGCGCGTTCCACTGTCAATTCGAAGGAGCTCAAGTACGCGATTAGACTCGACGAACTGTTTAACGAGGCCGTGTACCGGGACATACTGTTCATGTTGATACCAGCTGTGAAAATCTACATGAAAACGTTGCCGAAACTGTCAAAGTACCAGTTGGCGAAAATCGACGCAAAGTCCGAAGAAGATCTGGCCAAGTTTGCGATTCTATGTTTGGAGTTGACGCACTGGATGGTACACTTGGACGAGAACAAGGTGAGAAAATTGAGACCGAGGGATATGGAGAGAGCGTTAAGCTGCGCGTCCGAGATCTCGAAACATCCTGGGCCGAGTAAAGTTATCGGGGATAGCAGAAAATACTCGTGGGTCTGTACCGCTGCTGCTTCATTAACGAGAATCGTCGAGTATCTGCTAACGACAATTGACTCTTTGCCAGTTATAGATGCACGGGCTTTAGAACCAGCACTCGAGGACGAGGACACGAAAGAGTTTGGTCAAGCTTGCGTTCGAATGGCCGGTTTGGTCGCTTGGTTAGAACACTGTCAAAAGGAAGGATCGTACAAAAACATACCTAGGTATCTGTTCGATACGATACGAGAGTTGATCGTGACCGTGAGTCGCCAGACATTGGTCAATTCTTTCATATTGACGCCACCGTTGGTCTGGAAGCAAAACTGGGACGTCGTTGGTTCCGGTCTAACCAAATGCTACTTTCCGTTGTTACCTTCCGAGTCGAATCTCCTGCTGGAAGTGGAAATCCTCGAACAATTTATTTACAGAATAAACTTGTTGGGTTGGATCTCGCGACCGCAGTTCGAAGAAATATGGATGGCTCTTTTAGGCGTTTTGAATCTATCGGAAAACGAGTCCATAATCTCCGAAGAGATTCCCAGTTTGGTTCAAGCGAGCAGCTTGGCGGTGCAAGCGATAACGAGATTATTGTTGCAGACTTTGCTTCTTCCGTATCCTGGCAATCCGATAGCCAGCACTCTGATCCATTATCCGAGGGATCCTCAGCTTTCGCTTTACAAAATTAGCTCGCAAAAGTTGTACGCGATTCAGGATTTGCTCGCGTGGAAGTACGAATGCATCAACGACTCGGACAATCTCACTGGCCTGAACATGGATCACGTGTTTCAACGAGGAAACGTGGAGAAAGTTGGAAACTCGAACAAGTACACGTACAGTCAGGTGTCGGTGTCTTACCTCTGGTCCTCGTGCAACTTGTACGAGGATAAGCTAAACGCCTCTGTTCTCGACTTGAAGAACAGGAGAAACGACGCGCTGATGTCTTCGTCGCTCGATTTGGATTCCTGTCTTCGATTCCTCGTCGAGCTCTACACTTCCTGGATGTCTCAGCAAACCAATACGCCCGTACAATTGCTCACAGAGATCGTCAAGTCTATCCTAGCGATTTCAGAATTGTTCGTCGAGAGGACTCAGTACCAGTGGATGTTGGATACGTGCTTGGAGATCTCGAGGATTCATTCTATCGAAAATGTTATTTTGCATCAATACTTGGTGGTGTCTGTGTGCAAGGCTGCTGCCGTATTAACACCGTTGGTACGTTTTAACTTTATTTTTATATCTGTGCAACAGCTTGCCTGCCTTCACGTTTTCACGTTTTCACGTTTTCACGTTGTTTTCACGTTTTCACGTTTTCACGTTTTCACGTTGTTTTCACGTTTTCACGTTTTCACGTTGTTTTCACGTTTTCACGTTTTCACTTCTTAGGACATCGAAACGTTGGAGAAAGTTAAACGATTGGTAGATGTCAGTCTCAAGTCGGATTTTTTGCCTGCGAGGGTGGCCGCTCTCCATGGCTCGTTGTACCTGTTACAAAGTGCTACGTTAACAAATTGCGAGGAAACTATGAACATTATTCATCCTTTAGCGATCGAGTACATACAGAAGCATATTGATGCGCAAGATTCAAACAGGTAAACCATATACACGTACTTACAGTATCGAGATTGGTTTATTGTTTCTTGTCCGTTCGGTAACCGTGTTTGAAATTCAGTGTGCTGAGTCAAAGCGAAGAACATCAAGGCGTGATGTGGGCCCTGGTATTCTTTCTGCTCGAACACGCCGAAGACACTCCACCGGACACGGAAGCACCGTCTGTGCTAGAATTAGTCCTCGCCTTGTTGTCGTCTCAAAATATTTCCTCTAGCTTGCATCAGACGCTTCTGCAGGTACACCGTGTCTTCTTTTAACATTAATTCGTACAGAAACATAACTTATCACGCGGATAGTTGCAATTGTTATTTTCAACCAATTGTCGTGTCAGGGTCTCGAACGACTGGTAATAACTAAAAGCGTGATTGGAAATGTGGCTGAGCAAATAGTAAAAGTTGCGATAGATCGTTTGAAGCAGCCGAGTCCGATGCTGTCGTTACCAGCCTTACAATTGCTGCTGACTTGCATGTACACGGAGGCAGCGGATAGGCTGAATCAGCCGGAAATAGAAGAACCGTTGCCGGACCTAGAGCCGGAAGCACTGGTTCGATCTATAGAGCGCACGTCTGCAATTTTTGACAAGATCAGGAAAGGACATTCGATGGAGGTGGAGCTTCTCTGTACGGTTCTCTCGGCCGTTCTCGGAGACTTTTTCCCGCCCTCGGAAATTCTAACTAAAGTTATAGGGGAATTCTTGTCGCCCCAACAACCGCATCCGACACTACTTTCCGCCGTTGTCTTTAAAGTGTGTATCGTCTCGGCATTCCTCTCAAAATGAATCTCTTCTGCTCTCAACGATAGTTGTGTATACAATTTGTTGCAGGTTTGCGAAAGAGCGTGCACTTGCGCGCAAATGGAACTTCTTCAAGACTGGGTCGTATTTAGTTTGCCAAATTTCATTCAAAGTTTGCCGGTTACGATGTCCACGTGGTGTTTGTCTTGCTTTTTTATCAGCGCGTCCACGAATCATTGGCTGAGAGCCTTGTATCCTTTCGTGCCTGTTAACAATTTTCTCTTTATTTTCGTTTTTTCTATGCGTTCGTTCAGTTTTCTTAACTTTCAACGTTTAGATTTCCGTATGTTCAATCAAGGATCGGCAAATACGAATACGAAGACAAAAAGATACTTTGTATCGCGGCTTCTGACTTTTATCACAAGGTATGCAATTTTGTTAATCGTTACGCAACAAACGGAGAATTGGAACGTGAATTGGAACGTGAATTGGAACGTGAATTGGAACGTGAATTGTTTCTTCTTTTGGTTCTCAGTTGTGCAAAGAAACTCAAAAGAAAGCTTTCGTGGAAACTTTCGAAGCAGCAGCGAAGGAACCGGGAACATCGTTCGGCGATATTTTAGCGTCATTTTAGCGTAATTTTAGCGTAATTTCAGCTAGTTCACTTGGACGCGTGAGATCTAAATCAAAACGAGGAGAGGTAATTGATGAAAACTGAAAATTTTCCGGCTCTTCTTGTAACTTGATGTACAATCATTGCGGGGGGAGGGGGGGGGCTGCAACTAACTGTGTCGCGTGTACAGTTGTATGTATGTGACGATATTTATTTTACATCATGTATTGTCGGGAAGTAGTAACTTGTTTTTCAATAAACACAATATTTTTTAAATACCCTTCTTCTTTCGTGCATCCTTGATATACATATTTCATACATACATATAACTTAACTTAACTCCGTTAACTCATTTCATTCGTTTCAGGTAAAAAAATATATGTAATGTGCTGTAATAAAATACTTCCACAAAGGATAATACGCTGGCTCCTAGAAATAATCCAGCAGCACCTCCGACTCCGGCTACGAAATGAAATTTTTGTTCCCATTTATTAGTTACGATATCGTTCACTTGTTTTTCATTCACGAATACTTACTTAAAAAGTCTGTGAATCCGAACATCAGTGACCGATAATAGATGATTTGTGGAAATTCGACTATTAAATTTATAAACGATGAATTTGTCGGCATATCGTTCCTGAAACAAACAAACGATTTAATTATCAGATCTACGTATGTTTCGCTGTCGTAAGGGTCAATATAACGCAATGACGTAAATAAATACAGATCGTTTATTTCGCCGTCCGTTATCTGGTATTCGACGACGTCGCAGTTTGGAACGCAATTGCAGAAGGACGGTGGATATTCGAACATGAATAGGTCTTTCGTTATTTCACCGATACAACGTAGCTGCGCCGCGTTGCATATATTCACCCCTTCTAAAAAGGAGATTATTTCTTAACTCGTATTTGAAATGTACACCAACGGATTAAATGTTTGTTTACCTATAGGTCTGGCAAAGTGTGGTCGACAGTTGCAACGATCTTCAATCACTCGCATTCTGCACTCTATCACGCACATGTTTTTTGTATAGACTGGCCACGTTCTCAAACCACCGTCGTTTACGAATTTACATTTCCTCTGATGGACCTGGAGCTCTCTGACGTTTGCTCTTGTCTTGATTTCGGATATTGACATGATCAGACGTTGCAACAGTTGCGGCCGCGTCCACTTTGTAGGAATATCGTATGACAAGATTTCGAAGGGATCGCATACAGCGAACTGACCCAACAAACAAAAAATTTCTTTTATTCGTCGCGTACGAGGACCTCGAACCGAATAGAAAACGTAATATGTACATATTTACCAGTGCCATGTTCTCTGCAACGAAAGGTTCTTGCGAATGATCATCGTTGTGATCGTAGTACGGTACTTGGTCGGGTGGTATTACGGGAACGGTTGTCCAATTATTGCTCGTCCAGTATCTTATGGAATAGAAAAGTTGGGTGAATAAGGATGGAAATATATTCCGTAGGTAGATAAATGTTCCGTTTAAAACCAAGTACTAACTCGTACGTAGCGTAGATCGCAAAGACGCTTCTCTTTGCTAGACACACGCCATTTTCTGTCACCACCCAAGCCTCGAAACGGTCCTCTTCCTTCAAATTGTTAGGAGGAATGTATCTCCGTAAATCGTAAAGAATTGCCAACCATTTGTTCGGCGGTACCTTGTCGAAATTAGGTGTCTTTGGCATGTTTTGGTAATTTACATTGGCAAGAAAAGTGAAGAACCGTTCTGCTTCTAGCGTGTGTTCGACGCCGTGTCTACGCAAAAGTGGCAGAAAATTTCGGATCGTCTTTGGAGAAAAAGACGCTTAAATTTCCTCCCTCTTACTTGATAAAAACGTCCGGAATTTTGCTCTCGTCTACGTTCGGCACCGGACAAATAAACGCAGCTGGTTTTGATATTCGAAACCGATCGCGTTCGTTGTTCACTACGATGACGGTAGCTTCGTTTTGATAGCGGTTCCAAAACATGACCGACAAAGAGATCAAACACAACAGGGCACCAACGATAAACACGGTCGCCAGAAACCTTGCGTAATTCATACGAATAGATCAGTGAACGGCAGAGTTGGGAACATTTTTTAATATATGTAGTATCTATGTACATAGAAAAAAGTGAAAGATACTTTTCAACGGGATGTCTGTGCGGTGCCACCCAATGCCTAAGACCGTGTATGGTCGAAGTGCTCGCGAATTCCACGAAATATTTGCCAATGTTAGACTTTGTATCGATGGTTTGCATGCCAAGATGATTTGGAATTTGCTCCATCGGCACCGTCGAGTCTTTTTCGGTCGGGATGGCTTTCTGGCGAGCCCGAATATCTGGCAAAATTTCATCCTTGTAGAAATAATTGTGTTCTTCCGATTCTTTCGATTTTGCCAAATTTCTCGACATTTTCGGCATGGTTCTCGATTTTTGTTTGCGTTTATTCAAACGTTGTACGTACAACGTACAAGAGTTATCCACGCGGATTGATGTTATTTTATAACTGAACGTTGGATTTTTCATCGAGTCGAATGCACGCGAATGCACGCGAATGCACGCGAATGCACGCGAATGCACGCGAATGCACGCGAAATCACGGCACGCGATTATTAATTATGAACGACGAGATTTAAACGAAAAACCAGGAAATGAAAGAAAACGATGTAATGGATAGTGCGCTTATTGAAATCGGTGTAATCTCCGCGATATATCCGCGAGATAGATATTTATATAAATTTCATGATACTAAAGATACATGGAATAAAAAACAAAATGGACATTATTCAAATTAATAATCAAGTACTTCTTTTTTCTGTTTACTCCGTTACTATCCGTTAACTTTTCAAATTTTTATGTAATCCGTTGCCTGCTCTGTCTATTCGAATCCGAAGAAAAAAAGCACGCGAATCGATATCTTCGAGTACACGTCATCTTCGCGTACCTACGATACGTGCATATACATATATTTTTCTACGTTTTTCTTTCAGCAGTTTCGCTAGATAGGAGAAGAAGATCTTAGGAGAAAATTTATATTATGAGCGACGGTTGCTTTGGTATCACGGGATTCCGGGTTTTCCGGGATATTTCGCGTTGCGGCATATTCTACGGAAAATATTGACGGACTCGTCGAGGCAATGGAAGAATATACAGAGACAGTTAGATCCACGAAGCTTAAGCAAACGTTGTGTTTGTTATTCGGCCCGTTTGGAAATCATTTCCTAGCAATGTTTTCTTGTAGGAATTTGAGAAATCGTCCGATACGCAATTGTGCGACGGAGATACACGTGCCGAGGAATGGGAACTGTGCTACGTTCCAACGTGCGGGAAATATTGTATCGTCCCCGAGAAATCGAAATACGATATCGGTTCGCAACAACCGGACAGATATCGAAGAAGAAAAACAAAAAGTCTGCAGCAACATTGTCCTTGTCACTGTTGTCTAGACGTAACGAGACATTCGGCCAAGTCAAAGTATTACTCGGTTGTCCTACAATACAACCAATGCCCATACGTTTTCTCTTTTCTTGCAATTAGTAGAAAATTAATTAGTAGAAAAAAGTTTACCGGATTTTCCTTTTAGGAACTTTGATAACATGGAAGCTTTTGTGAAAAACTACGAGAATTTTATGCTAGATCCGATGAATAAAAGCTTGAAGAAATTGCAAAACAGCTTGGAGCGTTCGAGGTCGCGTATGTGCAGTCACGCGACAGCAGACGCGTATCATCAGCCGAGGAAAAGGCAAACAAGCGGTCACCGGTATCAGGGCAGAAACGAACAGGATCAAGCGTTTTCGGCCGTAACGGAAAACATTGCGCGTCCAAGAACGAACGGTAACTATGAGACTTGCCGCGAACGTCTACGATCCACGAAAGACGGATATAAGAATGATGCTCGCTGGAAAGATTATCAGGTAATGATCCGTGAATTAGTTGGGAAGTTGGTCGTCGGTCGGTAGTGGAAATAAAACAGTGGACGAAATGTCTAATTGAAGAAAGTACTATTCCGCGCGAGATAGATAGAGGAAACGGGAACATTAAGAAACTGTAACATGGACAGCAAAGTCCCGATGAAATACACGAGTTGCGGAAAGGAACGCGTGCCAAAGTCGGAACCGCGGTTTTTTCGGCAAAACGGTCAAATGACGAGCATGCCGGCCACAAACTTGAAAAATGATTCGGGAGATAACGAAAAGAACGATTACTGGCGAAAATTCGATCAAGACGATCTTAATTTCACTAAATCGGGATCGAACGAGCTTCGATACGAGATGCCGAAAGGGAAGCCTAATAACACGTTACCGAGTAAAGTTTCTACGGTGCGATCCGGCTCGGCGAATGTCACCGATTCGCAGACATTGTCGAAAAGCAAAACTATCGAGGACTCGGTAAAAACTCGTTGGGTTCGGTTAAATTTCTCCATTTGTTTTAACTTGTTTTACTCGCTGCGCGTTCATCTTCTTGATATTAAATTTTCGTGCAGACTCCGCGCAAGACATTAACGATCGACGCCAGTGAGGATTCAAAAAAACCAGAAACGAAAGATATTTCCATCCGCGGTGAACCGAGCAAACGATCCGTCGTTCAACAAAGTTCCGCGTGCATGCCGGACGACGAGTGGACGACTCTGAGAGAAGATACGCATTGCGAGGTAATAGTCAAGGACGAGGAGCAGCAAGTCGTAAACGGACGGAACATTTACGCGGCCGGAGATCTCGATCTTCACGTTACGAAGAATCACATTCTTGGCTTGATCGATCGGGCCCTCTGTAACGAATTTGGTAACGCGGCGGATCAAGAGAAGGTGCGCGAAACAGAATTTTATCATAATAATAATGTTGTAGGGAATTTAGTTGCAAGGTTGGAATAACTCAAAGTCGATGGACTTGTTAATCTTGTATTATATGTCTCGTTCATTTCCACTCTCCACGAGCACTTCAGGCTGCTCATTTTTCTTTCTTAATCGCCACATCGCTCGTGCATCGAAAACATACTGTACGTATGTACTTACGTAGTTTTGTCAAGAAACAAGGAATTAACGGTCATGTCTTACCAATCGACTTTCAGAACACCGATTCGAATCGAATGTTAACGCTTCATGAAATCTACATAGAAATAACGCGTGCGCTTCAAGGCGATTGCTGTCCAATGTTTGCGGAAGATGTATTGAAAAACATGAATATAAGATTGTTAAAGAACAAGTACACGAGACACTTGAAGATGCTTTGCTATCTCGAAAAGATTTTGGACAATTGTTCTCCGAGACTGCCATCGTCCACGTCGCGATCACGTTCTGCCGCGGTCGAGCAACGACTCGATCAACGCCAGCAACAGCAACAGCAACAGCAACAGCAACAGCAACCACAACCACAACCACAACCACAACCACAACCACAACCACAACACGATGAGAAACAGAGTCTATCGACTGTTCCATGAGGATTCGAAAGCTTTAAGAGCATCGAACGACGACAAGATTTTTCTTATCGCGCTATATGGATTTAGTAGCAAAGAACTCGAGGTAGCACCAACACGGATCATCCTTTCTCTGAAATATGTTTTTCGTCTATTAGTTTTCTATAAACTATATATTTTCTATCAGCTTATACACAACAGTTCAACTATGTGAGAATAAAAACACAACATAGAATAAAATAAATATATTTCCTAATATAAAGAAATAAATACTTCCAGAACGTTGGCGTATATTCTTATCAGCTATTACCAGTCTCTAAAAAAACAATAATTAGTCGACTACTCCGAACGATGTCGAAAATACATGTCGAAAGAAAGTCGAGCAGCGACTTGCTCGATACCTTAAACACCCCCACTACCCTAATTTTTATTTACCAATTTTTTTACTTCAAAGTCCTTTTTCCTCCGAGCGGATCTTTTTTTCGGTCGATAGTAAAATTTATCTTCGAATCTCTGAAATCTGAAATAACAGTATCAAAATTCAGTATGTATGTATGTACGTACGTATGTACGTATGTACGTATGTACGTATGTATGTATGTATGTATGTATATATGTACAAGAAGCAACTTGGATCGTTATAGAGTCGCGCGAATGACTGTGTGCATCGGGGAACCATTAAATTTCCTGATGGAATGATATCTTGATCAACGTTCGGTCGGTCCATCGCGAGCATCGTCGATCAAAATCTCGTGTTATCGGGCATTTTGACAAAATAGGCGACTTTATCTTCTGCCACTCTGTAATTATGAATCCATCTGGATCCCTTCCTGAGACTACCATCGATTCCGTCCCTCCACACGCCCGCGGGCAAGTAAACCTCCCTTTGCCTGCTACCGGAATAGAGAACAGGGGCGACTATCAACTCCTCGCCCACAGAGAACTCGTCCACGACAACGTGGCAAGCTGGATCGGCCGGATCCAGCATCCATAAAGGTCTGATTATGGGCAGACCGGTATTCAGTGTCTCCTTCGCGTACTTTTTCAGCAACGGCGTAACAGTTTTCTGCCTCAAGGTTGTCAGCCTCTTGGCTATCTCCAACACGGATTCGTCCGAGTATTTGCTAGGCAGATGAGTGAAACGTATCACGGGCAGGAACGTGGACAGCTGCAGCCATCTGATGTACAGCTCTTTGTCTGGCAGGCTCACTTCGAAATCGTTGTCGGGATTGTTGTCCGACATAGGTAAAGCCACGTCTCCGCCAACGGCACCCGGCATGATGAACGGATAGCCTATCATTCCGTAGGTCAAAACTGTTGGAATTACAGTTTTGATGGCCTTCCAGGAGGACGAGAACGGAGGAAGGGATACGAAGACTGGCGCTCGGGGCCTGGAAATCGCTCCCGAGACACCAATCACCGGCACAGATCCCAGGATTGCTCTTGTAAATAGAGTTTTGTAATGATCCGGATTGGTAAGCGGCTGTTCGCATTTATAATAGTGAGGCATATCCTGGGCGGTGCCCAAGTCCAGGTAGAACGAGTCCACGTGGTATTTCATGTTCAATCTTCCGAGCTTGGATTGCAACCAGGGCAATGTCTTGTTGTTCGTGATGTCCAGCACGGCCACGCTATTGCTTTGTTTGTATCTACCAACGAGAATTCATATATTTTTTTTTTAATCGCCTTAAGCTATTAAAAATGTTTTAAAGCGATTGTTGTCTGACCTGGTGAGAGCCGGAATTCTTGGATCGCTGCCTCTCTCGGAAATCAACAGCCTGCTGGTCACTGCGTCCTTAAAGTTCACAGACTCCGTGGATATGAACGGTTGGATGGTGAACACGATTCGGAATCCTCGACGATGAATAATGTTGATCGTTTCTTCCATAGATGGGAATCGTTCTTCGTCGAGCACAAAGTCGCCGGTACTGGGCTGCCATTCCTCGCTCAACAAAACGTGCCCCTGTCGCAAGAAACCGAGGGCTATCACGTCCTCGGTGTAATTGTAAATGGCAGCTTCGTCGGTCGGTGCGATTTGCCATACGGGTTCGGACAGCAGCGAATGAACCGCGTTAAGTTCGTCCGGTTTCAGCCCGTCCCACAGGGACTTCTCGGCCATCGATGAGTGCAGGTTTTTCATGTTGTCCGTCGCGCAGATCGTGTAATTCAGTTGCGGGAGCGGCGTCAAGTGATTTATGTAAGCGAAAGCGTCGTGTCTGGCCTGTAGGCAAAAGTCGTTGCTCCTGTTTGCGTTTATGGAGACGTAAAGAGGCGTCTCCGGGTCGACCAGTATCGTCGCGCCCTTCGAGTTCAAGAAGTACCTTTTCAGCACATTGCCAAAAGTATGTTTTGCGATGTCACCGGTGATGAACGGGCTCGAATCGAGACGTCCGCGCTCCAGAGGATAAGGCATATTCTGTACCTGACCGGCGCCGTACCAATGGCCCCTTTTCGACGACCAATCGAAACAATCTGTAGGGTTGTAGTAAGGGTTTAGACTTTGCCAGGTAACGTGGTAACAATGCATGTCTTCGTGTTTTGTGTGAGCCAGGTACAAACGCGTCTGTTGGAGCCACTCGAGACAAACCGAGCCTTCTTTCCGATGATGGGGCAAACATTGAAAAACTCCGGTCTCGGGGGGAATGCCTTCGCCGAGTTGGGCCGCGATCACCTCGGCCCCAGTGCTGCTGTACACGTGCATTACTCTTTCGTTTTTGTTAAACCTACAAACGATCAAATTAACCTGCTGGTAAGCGTGGAACAAGAAAAAAACGAAGAAAATTAAATCATCTTGTACTCATCGGCAAGGTCCAACAGGATATTTTAACACGAGGTTTAATCAATTCCATTGGACGCTTCCCGAAAGAGTCGCAATCTTAACTACCGTAACTGTAAACGTGATTGTTCTTTGCTCACCGAAATTTGTCGAAATAGGCTCGTTGTAAAACATGCTGGGTGTAATAAATGTGTGCAAACCCTACGAGGAAAACGACGCACAGAAACAGTATTCCAACGAAAACTCGCAGTCTACGAATTAATACGAAATACCGATGTTTAAGAACAATTCATTTTAAAGAAATATTCGCAACAGAGTACTATTTTCGATTTACCGATAATCGGCGTTTTGTCTCTTTTTGCTGCTACGCAAAGCCTGTGGAAGAGACAACTGGAGCTTCTCTTTCAGCAGACTGCTAATGCTGTTCACGCTGGTTATCGTCGAATTCACGCTTTGTCCGCCGGGAAGCTCCATCGAGTTGTTCCCTAATTTTTTAGTCATTATCGGTGGCACGACTACTCTGCCTTTTCGTCGAGGCGGAGCTTGCAACGGGACTCTAAAAATTGAATTTCGTTTCAGAAAAAAAAAACGAGCAAAAATACTGCCCGTACAAAGATTATACAATATTCTGTTGGCCAAATATCGAGGCGTGCGTGGAAATATGTATTTTTACTTCCGTACAGTATACCTTTGCAGCGATACAGCACTGCCGACGTCGTATCTTGGAATCATCGCGCGATTTAAAACTTTCCCGAACGTACTCAAAATTCGTATTGCCAAATCATCCAGAGTATTATATCAAGAGAGAGAGAGAGAGAGAGAGAGAGAGAGAGAGAGAGAGAGAGAGAGAGAGAGAGAGAGAGGTGGGCTGTTTCAATCTCTTTCTCGTTTACTCGTCAGCTTTGTCCATGTTTCAACCGATGTATACTATATGTATGTAACTGCTATCGAAAAGCTTAAAATCACCAAGAGACAAATGGTTGTTTTGCAATGTAAAGGAAACACGAGCGGAGACACTGCGCAGCGTCAGAGACCGTGGAGATCCGTTAAAAAGAAGAAATCATAGGAATAGAATGCACTGTTTCCGCCTAGAGAACGTTACACGTAAAAATACAAGCAGTCCTTGATGACCGATTGCCAACCGACCAACTGACGCGACGACTGTGAAAGTCTCGAGCGGAATTGTAGCGCGATAACCCTACAGCGATATAAAGAAGGTCGAACCCAAAGATGATCCTCGCGATCAGCACTGCTCTCCAATACCGGTTTCATCCGATCGGACGAAGGATTCGCGCGTGGACGCTGACAATATTGGCAAAACTTTTCACAAGTAAACAAGATCGAAATTGAAAACCGTGACAACTCGGCGAAATATACTTATTTTAAAAATAATCGTGTTCACCAGCGGCTGCGAAGCCGAGCCGATTATACATACTTACGTATGTAGATACGATCGGAGGAAGAGTAAGAATAAGGCACTTACTTGACCAACTCTTCGTCGTTTGCTTCCTCCTCGGTCTCTGATCCGAGTGGACTTCCATTGGGCGTCGAGCCACTGTTGCTGAACGTTACGCTGCTGCTGCTATCGTCGCTTTCCGATCTGGTGAATTTCGACGAGTTTCCCTGCGAAACATTTACTTATTCGCGCGAGAAACAAACTGTGATAATGTGATAAATACTTTGATGCGAGTTTTCTTTTACGCTTTCCCAGAGAACAAGATCCCAACCCCTATTCTCCTACCAGAGGAGAATCAAGCAGCGTTATCGCGCCGAGTTACATCAAGTGACATTAATACATTACGGAATACGTTTCGCAGGATACAATGGACGAACAAATATTTTTCTATACAATGCTATTTCGTTTGTCACACCTTCGAACCGAAAACGAACCTCCTCTATCGCGTCCAATTTCCTTTTTACAAATTCGCCGAGTGCTTTTTCCAGCGAACAGATCGAACTGTACTTATGGTCCTTGCCATTCTTCTCGTCCATGTACAACAGCTGTTTCTTTTCCTTCGCGTATTTCATACAACGCCACGTTACTTTGGCCAACATCGCGCACAATACACACATCGAAAAGAAAAATGTCCCGCCTACGGCTGTGAATTCCTTCTTCGTGTTTGGTAAACACGAGTCGGCAATTACGTCGAGACGATATAACGTTACTCTTTTTTACTCACCGACTAGTCTGCGCACTCTTTGCGAGTGTTCGCGGTATTGTTGTCGTCTGATTTAAAAATACATTTACGAGGGGAGCCTGCCTCCATCTTCGAGCGGCTATCGAATCGAATTGCTACTAACGGGAAGCAATCTCTTTGATCTTTAATCGTCGCTGGGATATTTGGAACTTTAAAGAGGATTAATTAACCGCAAGTAAAGAAAAAGAAAAAAAAAGCGCGTCAAGTTCAAAAACTGAATCCTTATCAACGAAAATAACTCGATACGATTGAAAAGTAATGGTTTGGTGTGTCTCTTGAATTCACCTTTTGTCTGTTGATTCTCAGACTCTCCATCTCGTCCAAATTGCTCGGCATTGAGACGCTCGTTTTACGAATATCCGCGGCTGCACGAAACCTAGTTGTCGTTTCGGGACAAATGAATCTTTTCGTTGTTCCGTTTCCGATCACTTCCGTAGCTTCGTTTGCGCGTATACTCGCGTTACGTTCCGTCACCTTCGGAGCGTCTAAAAAAATGTTAATTACTACTTATTATTATTAAGACACACAATCAGAGTATATGTATGTATACATATATGTATAGAAGATAATCGGAAACGTGCTCTTTATCCGTGTATAATATTTCGAACGCGTAATTTTGTTTCGACGTGAAACTGATTTATAACCTCGGCGATAAATAAGGGCGGAAACGAACCGAAAGAAACACCACGGCTTTCGAAAGCGAGGAAAATGTGCGACTGCGGAGATAGGAAGGACGATGACGGCGATCGGATTGTCCCGGAAACAGTGACGCTTTTCAGGAAATGCGGCAAATCGTCTCGTCCGACGAAAGATATAGCCGTACGATCGAGTATCGACACGGTTTTCGACAAGGACGACTGGGATCCAGTCGATGATTCGTCGCAATCTGATCTTAGATTTACAGTTTGCGACGGGATCAAAGGATCGCCGCCGAACAGCTCGATCACCTCCAGCAGTTCTTCTAGAACGGTACTCGTGCGAAATTTCAAATTACGCCGTACTCGTACTTTCAGATGGAAGAATAATAATAATTGGGCAATGCTCGACAGTACAATTTCGTTAGCGAAGAAGAATGCGAGTGTGTTCTCGGAGAACCCGAGGAGGATGTTTGGCAGCCTCCGATGGTCTCCTTCGAGCCTTGTATCTGCGAAGAGGAGGTCGAAGAGGAGCCGGATATCGAGTGCACGCTGGCGATCATAAAGCCAGAAGCGGTCGTAAACAGAAAGGAGATCGAACGACGTATATTCGAGGAGGGTTTCGAGGTTTCGAGGACGCGTTGGCTACAGCTCACGCCGGAACAGGTTTCCGAGTTTTATTCGGACAAGTATGGACAAGTAAATTTCGCGCATCTCGTCGCCTATATGGCGTCCGGGCCCGTAATCGTACACGTTTTGGCGAAACATCGTGGCGTGGAAGAATGGAGATCGCTTATGGGTCCGACCAAGGTAATCGCCGGATTTCCTTCCGTCGCGCCGTCATATCGTCGCATCGTCGCATCGTCGCATCGTCGCATCGTCGCATCGTCGCATCGTCGCATCGTCGAGTATGTATCTTGTTATCGGTGTGCTTTAGGTTACGGAGGCTCGTTTATACTATCCCGACAGTATAAGAGCGAGATTCGGAAGAAGAGGCGAGACTTTCAAGAACGCAGTTCATGGAAGCAGCACTCGAGAAGAGGCCGAAAGAGAGATTCATTTCTTCTTTCCCGAATGTAGTAAACAATGCCGTATTATATCACGATCTTTTATCGATTTTCGAGAAAATTACGAGCCAATTTGGACATTTTATTCCAGCCATAATCGAGCCACTGCTAAAAAACGAACCAGCGACCGATTACTTGTGGGAAATACTAAATCCCGTCCTCGTGGAAGCTCTATCCTTGGTAACACGAATACAATAGTTATCTATCCTTTGGAACTTTGCTAGAAACGTCGACTCGTTTCTAACAATAATTAGATAAATATTTTTTTTACGCAGTGTTGCAAATTGAAACCCGCAGATCCTGTCCTCTGGCTCGCTAATTGGCTAATTTTAAACAACCCTAACAAGCCTAGATTGCCGCAAGATCTCGCCATCGTTCCAACATGATTTCCAGCTTTATCCAATTAGAATATTTTACTGGTTTTAGCGTGTAAATTGTGCGTTAATAATAAATGTCTCACCTACTGTGTCCATTTCCTTTGATGATTCGCGTCGACATGGCGCCTTTCTGTTTAATTTTCGTTGCGTGCCAGACAGAAGAATGGGACTGTACCTTGCAGCGGAATACACGGACCGCGTGTCAACGTATTATACATATAATAAAAAAGAAACAGGAATAACGACGATTTTATATGTATATTATATGTATCATGGTCTGGGTTATCGTTACCAGTCTCTAGGAAATCTCATTTCGAATTTATAATATTTATACTCGGAAATATTTAAGGAGACGAATAATCAAGTAAGTAAGTACTTACCTCGACGTCACCAAATTCTGCACGACGTTCACTAGCTCTTTATCTTGGAAAGATCCGCGACCGACTGGCTCTGTTTCTTTGATCAGCTTGCAACGTTTCTCCTCGATGTTTTTCTCGTCGACGGATGCCGAACTTTCCGCGTTATTTTCTTCCCGGCCCGTCGTCCAATTGTTGTTTACGATACAACTGGTGGCTGGCAGGTGGATCGTTTTCGAGGGGTAAAGATGACTCTTATTCTCGTCTAAGCGTTCCGCTTCCAATGGCGAACCCCAACTGTGACTCCTGTCATCGATACAAGATTTGAAACAATTACGAAACGTTGATCTGATCCGCGAAATCAAGCTGAGAAAAGATGAGTAGAAATCTACTACCTTTCTCGTCGTTCCTTGTTCTCGAAACGCACTCTCGCGACTGCTCCAGCCTTGTGCTCGTGATCGGAATCATCGCACGTGATTTCCTGCCTCGCACCTATTAATCCATTGTCGTCCGGAATTGTCTGCTCGACTCGGAGGTCGCAGCTTCTCGTGTTTTTTAGTTCGCTTTGCGTCTTCTTTCTCGCCGGTTTCTGCGGTGCTTCGGGTAAACTGGATCGCGTTCCAATCGATGACCTTTCGACCATTAAAAGAAACGTCCTTGATACTATTTCTGAAATCGCGAGAACTTGGGAAATCAGCCGCATCGAGGCTTTGCCGAATCTTGCGTTAGCAAACGTTTCTTCTTCCAGTACAAATTTACTCGAATTTTAATCACGGTGGACAATAAGGAAAACATTCGATCACATACATTTTAATTTAGAGTCGTAATTTTCGTTCTACAGGCTGCTAAACGAAATGCATGCATGTTTAGTCTTTATTTATTTTGTATCGGTAACCCGAGCTCCTATAAGACCGTTGCACTCGACGCAAGTAAAATGAAAGGGCAAAGTTTAGCGCACAAGGCTGTGTTAAAATTTAACCCACTTTTCCTACCAGACTGCCGCCGATTGCTAAGAGTCAGTAGTTGTCTACATCAACAGCGTAGCATTAACGTGTTACGAGCTTACGAAGCCACTTATAGTATAGTATAGTAAGTAAGTATGTACTCGGCGTTGCTGGTACAATTTCAAGGTAAAACCCTTGGATTCTATTAATTCATTCTTGATAATTAAAATAGGTGTTGTTCTTTGACCGGATAAGTAATAATAAGATATTATATTACATTCGCGTTCGGTTATTATTTCGGTATAACAACAGTATGAATAATAGTTTTCTCTCTTCTTTACCATGTAAATATATATCGCTAAAAATTCGAAGATATACATTAATTATGCGCTGTGTGCTGTACCGTAGTTGGTGATCGAATTGCACATGCGCAATAACGGTTTGTTATATAATTAAAAAATTTCAACTCGATTGAATCTCGTTCGAGGTTAATGGAATAAAACTGTTTACCTAATAATTGGGGAATACCAAGGATCCACCCAAGTGGCTTCGGAGGAGCTCGATCTCGCGACTCCGATGACAGAAGATTGGTCTGGGACGTTGCTGGAGGCAGGTTTGTACCAAGGCGACGGAGTTCTGACCGTCCTACCCGGGGTCAGAGGTTCTTGCAAGGTATTTCCAGTCTGTTGGGACGGCGATATCGACAAATAAACGCCTCGACGCTCCGCCAAGCCGACCGGATCGACACTGGCTACTCTCACGTCCCAGGGATCGACGATTGAGAGTAATACTTTCTGTGCAAAGAGAATAAGGATGGAGAGAGCGTGAGAGAGAAAAGAGGGGAGACGACGAGGAAGAGAGAGAGCACCGTAGCTGGAGTTGGCTCGATTAGTTGGTTGATTAAAATTACGCGTGGTATGGTCGGTTCGAGCCGAACGGAATGGGAAAAATCGTCCGACGACCGACGACCGACGACCGACGACCGACGAGTACGGTCAGCCGGTGGAACTTTACGATTACGCTACGTGGATTTCGGTGACAAGTTCTCTATCCGTATTTATATCGAACCGATACACGACGCATCGTTAAATGGAGGAGGAAGCAACGAGATTCAACATCTCGGACGATCTGTTAAAATTCGAAGCTGTGCTTGGAATTCGTTCTGCGTTTGGTAATTGTTTGGTAAAATCTATTCGAATTTAAACAAATTCGAAACGTTCGATTACGTTCGATGTAAAATAACTCGCGGCGAACAAGGACCTAGACCGCTAAAAGCGCAATAGCGTTAGCCCGATAGCAAAATTACACTCTCGAGTGGGCTCGTTAACGAACAAAATTGATTATACTATTTACACTCCGTTAATCAGTCGGGGCAGAGCCGAACCGACAGTTTGACATGTGCAGGATCAATCGAATTACATAATGAAAATTGATAGTGCGTTGCGTGTCACGCACACACGTACTTACACGATATATTTTTATTTACTTGTGCCCTCGGCGGAAATTCTTAATTGCCGCGTTAATTTCACGCCCGTGATAACCAAGTTTTATCGTCATCGAGAGAGAAGATTTTTAATTCGGTGATCCGCAAATAGGTACATTAGGTAGATTAAATTATACGATTACAAGCGTTCCGAGGAACCAACAATTCACACGACACCTTTACTGTGTTTGTCGAGTGTATATAGATTCGGCCGAAGCACGCATTATCGAGAAACCCGTATCTTATTTGCACTCGCGGCGCAGCAACGAACAAAGTTTCAAACAAGCGGGACAATAAAGGGATTCGGGAACCGCGCAAAGGCAACGGCGGTTTAAATTTCGCGATTAGCAAACAAAACGTTTTCCTAGGCGGACTTTTCTTGCCGTCCGATAAGGCGACGATTAGTTTCGCGAAAGGAAATTGTTCGAAACGCGTTGCACTTGTACGGAAATAAACCGTGAACCGTACAAGCGTTTAACGCGTCTTTTTCCCAGCAGCGGTACCATGAATTTTCGATGATCCACGAAGGGAGTAGTCTTTGTTTCCGCTATACGTATGTATGTATGTATGTATGTATGTATGTATGTATGTATGTATGCGTCGAGTACAAAGCATTCGCGATTTAATAGTTCCTGCTGTTCGGCCGAATGAGATGCCTCTCGACACACAAAAACTGCCAAGATTCGTGTTGGAGAACCACTCGCGGAACCGCCATTGTTATGCGCCAAAGGAACGTCCGAATCGCGGGAGATTTCGTAGCCTTACCGCGAGAAAACAACAAGGAAAATTATCGCCGATGATCTCACTTGTAAGTACGTCCGATTCGTTTGCATGCGAAGACGCAGGTTTTCCGTGAAATTGGGTTAATAGCCGCAAGAACGGTCAGATCGACCTCGGTCCAAGATACGAGTTGGCTAGATGCAACCTAACTCGTTCGCGACAGGCTCTAATCTCTTCGCGTGTCGATTCGAGTCGAGTCGAGTCGAGTCGAGTCGAGTCGTTTCGAGTTACAATTATGTACCAACATTTTTATCATGGCATCCCCGTGTTCGTACCACGGGAAAGTTTATTATTATTTTTACGTAATACCGTTCATGTTTATCTCGTCGGCGCGTCACTTTGGCTATTACATATTGCGATCAACCTCCTGCCGTCTATTTTATTTATTCTTTTTTCATACAGCTTATTTCCAGCTTATTCTACGATAATTAATACGCGATCTACACCGATAACCAAAACTGAATACGTTTCATACGTCTGTTTAAAAATGATAGAGATCCTGACGAAATTGTTACATCAGTCTGCATCCGAATAACGACCAGTGCAAAACTTACTACGATATGTATACATTCTATATCCGTGGTAATTACGTCGTGAAAAACATTAAAAGCCATCGACTGACCTCAATAAACTTTAATTATCTATATTACAACGTTACAGTTTCAAAATATTATTTTACAAAAATGTATAACGAGCGTTCAGTTTCGCTCGTCGCTGTACGCTATACGCACCAATAGCTGAAATCGCGAACAACGCAGGCTTTGTTGTACTTTTTAAGGACACGTGTCGTCGACGATAAGTAAACAGGGCACCTCGTTGCTCTGTGAATTATTTAAACAATTCCGCTCGAATCGGCCTTTGCTGACTCTCCGAAACAAATACCAAGAATGCACGGACGCCAAAAATGTTAACCTACTGCAAATGCAACCTTTAACGAATAGGAAAACTGCGCTCGATCATTTCGTAATCACCTACAGTCGTATACAACTTTGGAAAACAATTTGACAATCATTTTTCCTTTCCGTAAAATTATTGCGCCGAGTCTTTGCACCCCGGTGCAACAACGATCCTATTTAACTTTTTATTCATCATGATACAAACGAGATATTAAACAAATTCTACGAGTAGAGAGGGTATTAAATTCGGAAATTTGTACATTTTATCAAGGAAATGTAAGGGGAACCGTAGTAGCGAGATAAGTATTATACTTTGACGCGTTGAGAATCGATAGGTCTTACGAGCAAAGATGATTTATTATGATAAATACTTTGAATGAATTCTACATTATACGTCGTTTGACGTAAAGTCGTCACGAAACCACAAGATATCGTAATCAACTTTTACGAGTAACGCATGAATGAAAAATTCGTTATCGTGCGATTCTTCTATGACGACGAACCGGTCCGTCCGTCGTATTAGCGAGTACTATTTTTAACCGAATCGAGAAAATCGACTGAAACTTTGGAACGGTGTAAATTGACGTGTCAATTGTTAAACGGTGTTACGTTATATAAGAATTTCGTTTGTCCGTGGAGAAAAATTTTCACAAAATTTTCGAATCGTCGTGCGGAAAATGTAGCTTTGAGTATGAAAATCGACTAAAACCGGACGACGATTCAAACGGGTTGCAATTTCGTTGAGAAACGCGCCCGAAAAAAAAAGAAAAAAAAAAAAAAAAAATCCGTAAAAATCGCTCCGGTAGAACAGAGCGCGATCGAAAGGATTAAAAAGCGCGAGTTTCTTGCGGCGTTTGAACGTCTTTCTCTTATCGGTCGATAGATTCGATATTGCGGTTACGTTAAAAAGCAATCATCGATCATCGATCTTATATTACAAACTATATCACTTTTTTAGATAACAGTACGAAACGGAAGAAACACGATACACACACACTCCCACCCACCTTTTGGCTGTCGGTCCTCTTTCGTTTCCTTTTTAATCTTTCCATGGTTGTCGATTTTGGGGATCGGTCGATTCCGAGGCGGGCGATTTCTCTATTTTCCACTAAATTTCGTCGCGCGTAGACGAGATCGGAGGAGAGAGCCTCCACCTTCGAAGACAGGTGGTTTTCGACTGATCTTCTGTTCCTTATATCGGCGACCACTTAGCGATATCTTCAGAGACCGCGTTCAATGTATCAATGTATCGGTAACGCGTTCGCGCGAACGCGATCTGTACACACGGCTACCGATTTGCACGCGTTTATTCGTGCCAACGAAACCGACACCGCATGTTTCTTCTATACGTACAAGATATGTATGTCCCTCTTTCCGCCCACGGACGACCGATATCGATAAATCCCGTGAGTGACCAAATCGGAGCGCGTGAGCGAGCATGTTTACGCCGATCGCAATGCCAGGGGGACATCCAGTGCAGCTCATTATCTTCGAGGAGAAGGTTCACGCTCTACAACGAGAATATGCTGCTCTATAGTCCTGAACGAGGAGAAGAAGCTTCTTAGTCTCACAAAGGATACAGTTTATGATCGTGGAGATATGGCCCCGCCGCCTCCGTTACCCGTTGGCTAAAGCTCCGGTTCTTTCACAAGGGGTTGATATTTTTCGATGGGAAAGGGTGTACGTTTAAATGGCGTCCACTTTACGAATGTAATCGACATCCGTCACGATCTGGAACCGCAAAAAAGAAACCCACCAGGTGTCGTTCGGACACAAATATGTACAACTGTTTGTTCCCCGGCACGATGCTTGTTATACAATGCATAAAACACACACACACACACACACGCACACGCGCGCGCGCGCGCGACACAATTTATTACGTAAGCGACATTGTGTACCGAACAGGACGCGAAATCGGTATGAAATCAGTAAAATTATAGAGAAGAAATAATTCCGTGAGCATTGTACAGCTTGGCTGGCTTATCGACTCGGGCGCAGAAAAAGTACGCAACGGAGACAGCAGACGTTCCAACAGAGAGATTCTCTTTTTCGACTTTCGAGAGAGAAAGAAGACAGACGTGGCTATATTCTCTGCACTTCTTTTATTTTTCCCTCGACTTTAAGTAAGATGATTTGAAAACAAATCGAATAATACCGCCGCTAATCCGAAATACCAGTTTTACAGCAAACGTCGCGAACTGATATCAGATGATAAACTGGAGCATTTGTTATTACAGGCTACGATTATACATAATAGTTTAATTAACTTCTATGGAGTTAATTGTAATGATATGGTCTTACTATAACAATAATTAAATTATACTAGCTAATTCGTCATCCAATTTGGCAGACTTACTTAACGTGTTAATTAATGAAGTAATTAATAATTAATTGTCCTATCACCCGATTTCCAAATTTATTTTACGCAAATAAATCAATATTTCTCTCGATACAAAAATACTATTGAGCGACAATAAATAATTAAAGACTCGCGCACCGATCAAATTGGATGCTTCATTTTGCGAACGATACACGATCTTAATAAATATACGGCATAAATAAATATACACTCGAATAACAATTACCGATAGAATTCGTCGAACAAAAAAACTCGCACATTTTTCTAAGATCGACGCATCGGAGCATCGGAGCATCGGAGCATCCAAGCATCGAAGGAGCATCGCATGTTTACGACTCTGGACGTATTTCTTTCCTACAATTCACGCTAATCCCATTCGAAAATATTCTACACACCATCAACATCTACTTAACGTACCTACAACGATATAACTTCGTCAAAAATATTATTGCCGCGAACGCGTACCTACTACCTATCCTATCTATCTGACGCTCTACCGACTTCGCGAAACGCTTAGCTTTTTAATTAATTATGTAATTACTTCATCGATTAATGGAACAATACATGAGAAAAAGTCATGAAAGTCTGAACGGCTGTTTCTTTCTGCCAATCCGCGCGACCTTCGGCCAGAACATATCCGTGATATTTTAATACTTGTTCGATACTTTGTGTGCGCTGATTTTGCCGATCGCAAACTCAGAAACACGCTAACGGACTAATACAAGTGTCACTTTCTATAGATAAATGTTTGTAGTTTTGTTTGTTTGCTTTGGAGTGAGTTTTCGGGAAAAGGCGGACGCCAACAAAGGGACAAGCGAACGTTATCTCGGTAAATCGTATTGGCGAAGTGGCAAACTATCCTTCAACACTTAAACCTAGACAGAGTTCGTAGCATCGTCGTAATAGGATTTTATTTGGAAAACCTCGAGCAACCGTAGGTCTACCTTTAATCATTTCGATTGAACGTGCGCGAACAAACTTTCAACGATTGCTCGCGGATCAGTTTTTTTCCACACTTCCCGCGACAGAGTTATTCACAGAATAAGAATCGGGAGTCGTTATCGTACGATAGACTGGTGAAAAAATAATTAAAACTTCCAAACTCTGGATACTTTTAACAATATTTTTCTTTCGATCTCTATGTATATTCACCGGATATTGCCTTTACGATACTTGTATCGGATCGAAACTAAACAAAAATTCTCATTATTTCTACAGCTTTCCGTTAGCATTATACATGTACGTATGTATATCGTTACCATCCTCTTCGATGATACTTGACCTCCGCTGCCTGCCTAAAAAATCTCACGCACGATTCATTTCATCCGAATAAAGTTTAAAAACATTAACGATAGTTATACATCTATCTCTATAATTATTATCTGCCGAGGCTTCTCTCGTTGCTGGCCAAGCGAATCGTTGGGAACGAGCAACGATTCGGTTGCGTAGCCATGGGGAAAGTAACCGAAAGATCAAGGGAAAACGGTATAATAAATGCGGAATAAGTTTCGTTCCGAATGATTCGCTGTTCGATCCACTGTGAACCACGACGAGCAGGCCAAGATACTTAAAAAGTTTCTATCGATCTTCTCACCGATATCAGAGACGCTAAAATTATTCATATTTTATATATTTATTTCACTTGGTATTATCAGCATATCCTTCAACAATGTTACTGAGTATTATTTATTACTTTTTTTTTTTTTTCATTATGGCGTTCTTACTGGTGTTTTCAATCAATGTATTTTCCTTTTTAAGTCTTATATATTCGTAGGATTTTTATTAACGCTCTCCTCCTCCTCCTCCTCCTCCTCCTCCTCGTCCTTCATCGAACCCTTTTGCTCCAAGTTACTCTTGTTTTACGAATATTTTTCGTACGATGCAACGAATACAAAGTATTTTCTTTTGTTTTAATTCGCAACGGGCGACGGTGGAACAGCAGCGCGTTAAGATTTCGACTATACACGGCTATGGTTTATCGAATCGCGTGTTTCCTTTACAACCTCAAGCATGTTCACGATTTCTACACTATCGAGAACAGTTCACCTTTATAGCTCTCTGCCTTTGTATAATAGTAAAAATATAGCTTTGGAGCAAAAGTAAATTCCTGTTATCTTTCGTATTTCTATTTACGTGTACACTTTTACACGACGGAAGATCGTGAAACGGACTTTTGTACGCGCGCGTTCCCGTTCCCGTTCCCGTTCGCGTAGTACGAAATTGAACGATGCTCGAAGCGTTTTGAAGAAATGCAGACAGGGGGTCGCCGCGAAACGAAAAGAACGGCTTAAACTATACCGTTAATACTAGGTTGCTTCACTCGTATGGATCAAATGAACGAAAATTTGCAATATCTATTAGGCTGGTAGAAAGGAACGTCTTGTAATTAAACGATTCTCTTGTACGAGAATAAATTACATTGTACGAGAAACGAGTGATAGGCCAAAGGATAGATTCGTCTAGAGGTTAGTGTTCGGCGCGATATTGCAACAACATCTTACATCTGGAGACTAATGTAAATCTCTTGTGTATTTTAACGACTCGTGGTTCGAGCTAAAGTATCATTGAAACATGTATCATTGAAACGTAGAAACATTATCAACTAGAGACACGATGATACTCGTACTCGCGGCTGGTATTGGTATTTACTATCTTCCTTATAGCTTTTCCTTAAAAAAGAAAATTCTTCGTTTCACAACGGCACATTTCGTGTTTGTGTTGTTTGTAGAAGAACACGGGTGTATGCACCGTTACAAATGATTTTGACACGATACACGCACACATGCGCGCGCGCACACGCGCGCACACATTACGAAGCCGATACGAAGCGAGAGACTGATATGATTAGGTGTCTTACTGATCTGTACGGTCACCTTAAAAAAGTAATTCTAATCGAAAAGTCCTGGCTACAAAGACAGACAGACAAGTGAAACGTTCGATGAAACGGTACGGTATCCCTCGTATTATGCACCAAACATGATTTTAACGTCGGATGTTACGTCATTCGCCGGGATCGTCCCACTTGGCTTCCTCGGCTATTCGATCAAAACAGTCTGACAGGAACGTGTACTGCGAACAGAACGTTCATCGTTCGAGCGTAAATAGCGCGAAAAACAGTTTCACTAAACTATCGCGATGCAGAGAAAAGAAAAGAAAAGAAAAGAAAAGGAAAAGAAAAGGAAAAGAAAAGAAAAGAAAAGAAACTGCAATGCGACTAAAGAAACTGGTATTTACACGCAGCAAGGTACTGTATGTAGGTACGCTGTAAGGCTGAATCGCTATGAATGAACATTTTAAATAACTCGTTCAGTTTTCATGTTTCAAAGAGGTAGTAGTAGTAGTAGTAGTAGTAGTAGTCTGAAAGGTGTGTCTCGTTATTCTTTTAAAATAAAAAATAAGTAATTATGCAAGACGGTAGTTTGTAGGACTGACTCATACCCAACAACAGGTTGATTAGAAGCAATTTTCGCAAAGAATTTGAATCAGACACTTACGTAAGGTGTGAAGACCTTAAGCCAACGCGGCGGACGATTGTCCTGGCGCGTGTACTGGAAGCAGAACGCCATTCCTTCTTCGTCTACCTCCCACCGGGTAATAGAGTTCCATTGAAATTCAACGACTTGAGATTCCAAAGTGCCGTCCTCCTTCGCCGCGTGTAGCTTAAATGCTGCTGCTCCTACGGCAGCGACAACGTGCCCTTCTTTCCTCGAATCGCACACGCAGTGAGGGAACACGATGTCGCCGTAACCGCTCAGTTCCTTTGCCAGTTTTAAATACTGCAAGCGCACAAGGTAAACAGATCCGGCATCGAATCAGAGAAATATCGCGGTGGACTCAAAGGTAAGATATTGCTTTTATAATCCGTCCGAGTGGTATACCCCCCGCCCCGCCCCGCCCCGCCCCGCCCCACCCGATTAATAAATTACCTACGCCGAACCGATCCTAGGAAGAATCAGTTTTGAAAAGCTATCGTTTTCGTACCTCGTGTTTCCTCGACGCGTCCTGTAAAGCCTTCAGCTGGTACAATCGTTCACCGGCTGTGATGTGACCCCTATTCACTTCGTCAACAGTTTGCCAAAAGATCCAAGTTAACGCTTGCTCTCCGAGTGGTCTATTTACATTGAAAAGCCACCTCCTTATCGCGAGACAGGTCGCGCTGGCGGTCGAATAGTTTTGAATGTACAAAGTGTGAGGGTGCTCATGGGGTTGCAACTTCCGTTCTGAAACAACAGAGTGTTAAACGACCGACCTAGGTCGTTAAATTCTTTTTTGCCTCGAGAGTTACTTACCGAAATTGTACTCGACGATTTCGAAGAGATAAAAGTATTTTGCCGTATCCGCGTCCAAGCTAACACGACTGCAAACCGCGTCGTACACGTCCTTGACGGAAGCAGCTTTGGCAACCGTGACGGTGACAACCTCGCGATCCGGTAGGAGTACTTTCAGATCTACGGCCGGCCCTTGATCCCCGTCCTCCTCGAGCCTGTCGGTCAAGAAATCTTGCATGGCGTCGCTTTCGGCGATTACTCGAACGGCACATACTTTCTCCAGGTATTGCTCCAAACCGCGTCTCCTCGCGTCGAGTTGCTGCTCGCTCAATCTGCAAAAGTATAACCGTGGTGTAGGTTGTGTTAGACGGCCGCGTACCAACCGAGAACCGACGCGTTCGATATCTATTTACTACGGTATGACGATAACAAACGTATGTATATGGTTTTAGCGGCAAGTTAACACGTCGAGTACATACTGGAATGGCCATTTGCCTGGCAGTTTCGGGAAATTAAAGCCAATAAATTCCTTTTTCAAAGCCACGTGCAGGGCAGCGAACTCTCGATATCGCCTGGAGCATAAGTGTCTGCCCGCCATGTGTACGTTGAAGACAACGTATCGTTCATGCTTCCTCTCGCGAACGTGATAGTCCGGTACGCTGATAGGTAGAGATCGTTTCTCGCTGTAGTCCACCGACGCATAACTACGAGACGAATATGCACCGATAGAGAAGCAGATGAAACGACGAGATAGCATGAAAGAAAAAAAAAGAAAGAGATCTTCTGTTCTTCTCTACACTGATAAATGTACGTTTATGCTTTTCGTTACTCTGTTATTGCAAGTCCGTTAAATCGTGTTGGTAAATGATATAATCGGTGCTCGTACCTGAGATCTTCGAACGGCTCCAATCTCTCTGCCTCCTGCGGCGTAACGGAGATAACGGTTAACGTCAGGACATCGCCTCCGGACTTGATCAAGTCTACCACCTGCTTGTGGGTGGCTCCCTCGACGTTCACGTTGTTCCTGCAATAGACAGACAGCTGAGTTTATTCGGCGATAAAAAGTCCCGGGGGCACGGGACTCGGCCACGCGGAGTCTCCTTTACCCGGTAACGATCGCCTTTAGTCGCGAATCTAGCTTTGATCCGCGACGATCACGATTTTCCATCCACTCGCATTGCACCGCGGTCACATAACACGACAACATTGCAGCATCTCGCGTATACGTCGGCAAGATTTGCGTTCGTATCGGTCGGTCGGTCGATCGATCGGTCGGTCGATCGGTCGGTCGATCGGTCGGTCGATTAGACGTGCACTGAACACCCCGACGACACGCGAAAGGAAAGGAAATGTCAATTGAACTTCCTATTTCACAGAGGGGAAAAGGTGATTAGCGTTGCGCGAGCGAGCTTAAACTCCGAGCGTGAAAGGACGAGTGTTGTTATTGGTCGTGAGCGTACATATGTACGGAGGTAAGACTCTCCTCGACTAAATTCACAATCTGCGCTTCGAGCGAACGCGGACTGCCTACTTACGTAGTACTCGATCTTTTTGCCTATCGTCCGGTGTCCCCCTCGAGTATTTTCTACTATCTCCGATTCCGGGGCAAAGGGGGTTCATGCGCGCGATACAACGCGCGTCAGTCACTTTTTTACGTTCTCGCGACTCTTGAATCGCTGAATCGATGCGATATCTCTCTGTTGATACGCTCCAACGTTTTCTTCTCCTATTTTTAACTTTTCTTATGTATGTATGTATGTATGTATGTATGTATGTATGTATGTATGTATGTATGTTTGGGCACGCTCCTTGTTTCGCAATGTCTGGAAAAAGGTACAGAAAGTGCCGAACCGGAGTCTGTCTGTCTGTCTCGGCATCGTGGAATGTTGCTCTCACTCTCTCAAGGATCTTTTAGGTATTCAAACAGTGCTTTCGTAAGAATATAAAAGTGAATACGATCAAGCTGAACTTGCTTTGACGGCAACCAGTTGTGTTGTCGCACCTTGAAACAAAGGCTCGAGGGATGAGTCAATATGTATTGTCATTCTAAACTCCCCCAATTGCCGCGTTTCTTAAAACCAAACTTCATCCTTGCGGTTCATTTTCTTTTTACGAGTGACAAGATTCCTTTAGTTCGCTTAAAGATTCCGTAACTTTTTCCACGAGTTTCTAACCATCTCGCGCAACGATCAAAGTATTTTTAACGCAGGCTACTATTTTTACGGCGAACCCTTTCCAGGTTCTTTACGTTCGGCCTGAATGGTTATCGATGCAACGTAAAATCGTTTTTCCTACTTGGCATATCGCGATTCGACCGTCAGAAACCGTAAGAAAATCAATCGAAGGAAACGCCAACGGCGGCTGTCCTATTGATCGAATGCAGAAATAGAGTAATCGAAAGGAAGCCTTCGGTCGTAGGAAAAAATCGAGATAATACCGATTCGAGTACGAACAAGATCGATCGACGGATTATTCATTTTGTTCCGACGCAGTCTGGCAAAAAATGCTTCGTCGCGATAAACGAAATAATCAATACTTTGTTGATATTCTTTATCGGGTATTATAGATATCATTTTTGAAAATACATAGCTACAAAGAGGTCAGTATCAGAGCGAAGATCGAGTCGGTGGTAGAATCGTCCGGTGACTCGTCGATCAGAATTTTTACGCTTGTTCGTTTCTTTGTAAGCGGTAGACGCGATCGAGGCCTTAATCGACATGGTCGCGAACGTAAGCGAAGAGAAAGCTAAGCCGACGGATCGCGATAAATTCGCCGAATGAACGTTAATATCTCGGGGCGTAAAGATCGATTGTTAAAAAATAGTCGGCTGTGTAACGCTATTACGAGTAGGAACCGTAGTTTGTTTCTTTTTTTTTCTGCCCGGCTCGTAATCGTCTTATCGTTGCGTATTTTTTCCAAACGAAATATTCATTCGGCGTAATCACACGCATGTGATACGAGTCGTTCTTCTATCCTTTCGTAGGGAGTCGTGTCAGAAAAATTTAATACGATTTTGTTGATTCTAGATGAATTTAGGCTACGTTCAGAGAACCGGACGAAATTCAAACCTTACTGTCCGTTACTGTTGCAAAGAAAGCCGTGTCGATGAATGGTACGTTTGCTTTTTTAAATATCTATTCATAGAGGGTGCAAACTCATCGTTCCATCAGCTTTTGATACTATTTGCGATACGCTCGACGACTATGTAGCGCAGAAAAGAGGTCACGACGTATGTACATTTATCTGGATAGCGAGTGTATTTACATTTATCAATAGAATATCGACGTGTCCAGTCAACAGGAGCAGAGTACTCGCGCTCTGCTTTCGCGACAGCGGAGAGCCAAGCCGGAGAGCCAAGCCGGAGAGCCAAGCCGGAGAGCCAGCTACCTGCTCTTAATGAATCATCAAGTTCGAAGCCAGTGTAATTTCGAAAGAGTTTCGAAAGAGATTCGAAATTCGACGATTCGACATTTCCAATGTAGGAGGACGATTGATTCGTGAAAGACCTCGGCCCGACAAAATGTGTTTGCCCCAGAACTCTCTTATGTCATGGAGAAAGTGATAATTGCGCGCCGAATTTCCGCGAGTTGCGTATAAATAACTGGCCGACGAAATCTGAATCAGCATTTAAATGTTACTTGCATCGGCCATTAATCACGCAACGCTCGTGCTCGTTAATTACCCGGCTTTACGTTTAAAAACATAAATAAAATAAAATTAGCCGGATAACGTTGCGGGGATAAGGTTTGCAAATTGTAACGTGACAGGCCAAGGGACAACGTTATATGTAAGTACATGGCATACGTATCATCATTCCGTATAGGTTAAAAATATTTATCGGTGTACCGTGATTACTCGATATCGATCCCATGGGATTGGACCAACTGCGATCAATGGTATTAATCGGAGCTGTAACGATTGAATTTCTAGCAACAACGGATACACCGATTTCCACAAAGTCTGACAAAAAGCTCTTCAAGAGTTTCCTCGAGAACCCGTTCGTGTATTACGAGTGGGCTTGTAAGTAGGTACACGGCCAGAACAGCGGCCAATCGGGATTTAATCGTGGTTCTGATCGAACATCGTTCGATGCTCTTCAAAAACGGTCATGGTACACCGACCGATGCGACGCTTCCGATCCAATCGTGGACCAAAGCATCGAATAACGTTCAACGACGGTATTGCGATTGGAGGATCGCGATCCAACCAATTACGACATGGAAATATGTATTCTCTAATTCGCTGGAACGTGATTGAAGTCTGAATACTGGCAGAGTGAAATCGGACCACTCTAATACCTGTACATTTATCCTATTTTACAGGTGATTCGAGTCAAGGATTACTTTGCTTATTTTTAAAAATAATAATATAAAGACGGCTGATCGAGGGGGGATAATTGGAAAACCGTTTAGCGTTTCGTACGTTCAAGTATTGGATGGGGGGTTTTTTTGCTCGGCATACACCTGTTTGCGAACAATTAAATTACAAGTGATTCATAGATATCCGTCGACGTGCATTCCAACAGGCGTTATTTGTGAATCGTGTGATAAACGGCGCGCTATTTACGCGCTGCTTTTCGCGAGCGCATAATCGTGGATAGCCGAGGAGAGAACGTGTTGTCGATAAAATATCCGTTTCGCTCTAATTTAATATCGTGCCCTTGACAGCTGAAAAAATCCATCGGCGAGATTGCAGCGCATATGTGTAACCACTTGTTAGAAGCCGCATAAAAGACAAACCTTTTAGAAATGTCACCGTATGGTAAAAGTACTCTACCGTAGATGGGAATCGAGCCACTAAGGTCGTCTTTCTTTCTATCTTACATAATTACACGCCATCTTTATTTTATTATATAATTTCAGCCTAGACGATGCATTGCACGGGCCGCGTTAACCGTTCAACGTTTCGCCTAAAAATTTCTTAAATGATACATTTCAAATAAATATTTCCAACGATGTGACATTCCTTGGCTACTTAAATAATTCTCGCCCCGATGATGCTCGTCGCGCGAATCGTTAAAAAATCACCGCAGACATGCGAGCAATTAACGTCCGATTAGCTAGAGTGGGTTAAAGCCAAGTACACCGACCTATTGTATTCGGCCAAGACAACAAATTTAGTAATTCACCCATTGCATATTTTCCCCTGGTGATTATTGCTTGGCAATTTTTTACGGATTCGTCCTCGAAAATATAAATCGACCGGTCGCGGAGGTCGATTTTTCACGGCGGCCCGATTAAGACCTGTCCCGTGAATCCTTTCTTTTCTCTCCTTCGTCTTCGATAACGCTTCGCGCGAATAACATTAGCAAACCGAACGAGCGCCTACGATATACCGTTACCCGCGAGTCACAGAATATATGTACATATAATATAATATAATAGTCCAAGCGCATCTCTCTGTCCTTTACATTTTTTTTCTTCCGATCATGTTGTACTTTCCTCGTGTCGTTTACGAATCCTCCAATTGTTCGGAATGGTTGGCTGGCATTTATGCAAATTATGCCGGTGTAACATATTTTTAATTACTTTTCCCAGCTTAACGAGACACGCGAGCCGACCGCAATTTAAATTCCTCGCTTCAAACGAGCGATTTAATAATTTCATTTACGTTTACTACTACGTTTCTAACGAAATGCCACGTAATTTCCATACAATTATTGCACGTACGACACACAATTTCGAACAGCCTGGAGAGCAAAAATTCAATAGCCCATCTAATCTAATGATTCGGGTCTGCAAACAGGCGTGTGACGGTGTTTGAGCAAATCGAGGCTTTTCTGGAACCCCGCCCACCAAACCAATCATCGCCTTGACGAAATCGAGATCGAAAGATCGTAACGTCGATGCCTCTACACGACATCGACAATTTTCATACGCATAAATTAGAAACGATTAATCAGAAATAAATCAACGATCAAAGATCGCGACAGCATCGCACGTGCCGTTCTCGCTTTACCATCGACTCCTATCTAATTCAGATTTGTTAATGAACAATTCGGAATATTCAAAGTGGCTTCGAGGACCGGTCAAGTGACCGCAGAGAGGTTGTGTCAATTTATGCTCCGATTAAAACCAACTGTGAGAAAGAAAAACGATCAAAACAGTCGGATAGATCCATGTAAGTACATACTACCTACATACGAAAAATAACATTAAGAAGACTTCCCAATTTTTTTTCCATGAATTTTATCGGCACACGATACACGTTTTGTTCCCTGGGAAATGATCAACTTCTATGAAACGATAGTTGCGAGTACCTACATCAAACTATTCAAGATAAATTATGCGCCGTGTAATTACCAATCAGCAAATACAATTAGCATAATAATCGATCGGGGAATAAAGTTGGAGGTTGTTGAAATTTCATTTCCCTCGTAACGCTAAAAATCGATAACTCGATTACGAAACTCGAGTAATCGAATTCTCCTCGCAATTTGAATCGATTCAGCGGAACGGTAAAATACGAATAGAAAAATCATCGATCGAGTTTAATTGCTTTGACGATAACGCAGCGCTCCGCTAAAAAATCCCTCGCCGTATATGTATAAATCGGAAATAAAAAACACTCAAATACCGTGATACATACATATATTCCTTGTTTAGAAACCCAACGCTGCATCGTATTTCAACCGTACTAGAAACACGTAAGCATGTAGGTATGTACATACCTACATATTATCTACTACATGGCACATTTTTCGGATCGTTCTTCCCCTCTTACGTCTCCATTTTCTACGCCATACAACTGTCTCTCGTTACGGTAAGAGATACATATGTACACGACTATACACGTTATAACCTTTGATCCTATTCTTTTGAAAATTTCCTTTATAAACACCGAGGTATATGTACTTACATAGATCTCGTTGCTTCCATTTACGACTCTATTATTTATCTCTGCCATGTTGGTATCACGCTTCCCAAACCTAGTACACGGTACATACAACCATGTTTTCAGTTAAACGGTTCAAAATAAACCCGAAAACTCACTCCATCAAAGATAGAACGAACCCTCGATAATAGGGGCAACCATTCTCGGAATATACATCATTATCTCGAAATCGAAATTAGGATTTTTATACGTAGATAATTGTCAATTACATACGTTTTATGGCACGCATGGGCAGCATGGGCAGCATTGGAATCCGTTCGAACGCAATTAAGGGAACGTGGGCAGGGAAGCAAAGTAGCATCGTCGAGAATGCAAAAGGAAAACACACACAAGGGTAACACTAAACCGTGGAGAACGGTGGTAGGTTGACAGGTAGAACGCAAACTGTGCCAAGGATCTATCGTTTCTTCCGCGATAAACAGCACCAAATAAATGTCTAACCGGCCGAATCGATTAAGGCGAACATCACGCTATCGCGGTGCTACCGATAAACCTGAAGCCTCGAGAAGAAAAAAGCAGCATCTCAGCTGTCGAATATGACAGCTTTCGCTTCACTGCTATCCGTTCTGTATAGGCATCCGATAGGCTTTCGATCGAGAAAATCACGCCTCGAATCGTCTTACATACTCTTGCCACGAACAAACTTTTCCATCCTAGCGAGAGTTTCTTTTGTCCGAAACTGGAAAACGGTACCCGTTTCACAGCTAGACGCGCACAATCTTCGTAACGAGGAACGTTCGAAATTTGAAAAAGAAACCAAAGAGTAGGAAATGTATAAGAAAACGCGACTCGAGGCAAAACGGTGTACTCACACTTCGAGTATTCGATCGCCTTTTCGTACACCGGCCTTCTCGGCGGCACCTCGGGGTAACACGGCGCTGACATGCTGAAGCGGCGCGTACAGTTCCCCGTTGATGCTTCTCAGTTGTCCACCCTCGCTGACCTGGCCGCGTACGTTGAACCCGAAACCAGTCTCGGTTTTGTAAATGGTGACGCATCTCGGTCCCTGTCCGATCGGATTCGCCTGATTCACCGGGTGCTGAGGCACGCGTCCGTTGTTGATCATCGTCACACTCGCGTTCCTCGTTACGTCCTCGTTCGTGGCTGGCAACCGCTGCACCTCCGACTCGCAGTCCGCCATCTTACTCTCTGACCGCCCATTGATGTTCCTCTCGTACGGGGATCCACCGCGAGACTGCGCCTGTGTCGAGTCGAGTCGTCTCGTCTCGTCTCGCCTCGCCGAGCCCCGCTTTTCTCTCTCTTCTCTCTCTTTTACTTTTACCCCTTCCATTGGGTTGTCTTAGCTTCTTCTATAGCTTCTAGTACCGGGTACCCTAAAATTTCCGATAATAATTTATTAATCCAACTGCATGAATCACCCGATATTTTACTCGGATCGACCAAATTCTTCTCACTGCGTCACAAAAATTCTCATTATATTATACCTCCCAAGGGTATCGAGACCACGATACTAACCAAATATAAGATACATATGCATACTTTCTCTACATATATGTACATATGTATTCACGCCACAAATCTATTACCTACTTACCTTTCTTTTACATCCACCGTAGCGTCGATTCAGTAACGGCCGCTAGAGGTCCACTTTTCAAATCAGTTCTTACCGCCGAATCGTTTTTCTCGCGTTAATGGGAAAATAATTAAATCTTTCTGTTAATTGTTGTGAAATATTCTAGAGTTTACGAGCGTATAAAGTGATTGAAATGTACGTATTATTTGGCACGGTTTAAAGATGTTTTCGTTCCATGTGCCATGGTCGTGTCTCGATGTTGAACAAGTCGGACGAGGCATCGAGTAACTAAAAATTTAAGTATGTACATGTTCGTAAATTACCAGCAATTAAATGTATACATGTACATATATGCATAAATTGTTCTTACACACGCTACCAATGATAAGAGTCGAATATATGTATTCAAATGTAACAAGTTGCGACGCGGTACGTTCTACGGTTATGCGCATATGACAAAATATCAATCGTGTAAGAAAATAATTACTCATCGATTAAATTTGAAATTTTTGCTTGTTATTCTCTTCGACTTTAAAGGAGTTGCCTAATCTTGGGACATTAAAAGCGATGAAAGTACACAAATTAATGCCATTTATATCTGCAATATATTAAATAATTATTAGATACATTTATGTGCGATAGTCGTTTCGAAGTCATGTCACTCATATTTACAATTTTCTTTCCTCCATAATTTAAATCTCTGTTTCCCGTAACGTATCAGTACGTTTTTGCTTCGTTTAATTTCAAAATTAATTAATCAAACGATAAGAATCATGGGCGTTCAATTCACACGTTAAAATATTTCTTTTTTTTGTTTTTATATCGTTCTCGTTATCGATCTTGCGAATCGGTACATTCAAGAGACGTGTAGCGCATTAATAAAACTTCCAAAGAAACGAGCTACGAAAGTAAATTGAATCATTAACAACGATGACGATCGAAATACGATAACTTAACTTTGTTTTGTCAACGGAATGAAAGTAACCGAGCAAAGAGCAGAGAGAGAACTGAAAAAAGATGATCCAGAAAATACTATGCTTCAAAATGCGCGGTACAAACCGATGGGTTATTATTGAAAAAAAAGGGAAAAATAAATTTAAACAGGAAACATTGGATAAAATTTTTCCGTACGAGATTTCATTCGCAGAAACATTAATATGGAAAATAGGGTGCGGTGTACGCGTGCGGCTACTGCGCGCAATTTCAATAAACGATTTTATCGAAAACTCTTACGGAAAAGTTTTATTTTGCGTTTTCGATTTTCTTTTTCATAGGAAATCGTCTTCCGTCGGATATGCGCATTTTGAGACACGTTGTATAAATTCGTGAATCGTAATACTGTTAAATCGATTACTTTAATCTATCTACCCTCAGCTTTCATTAACACGCGCGGAAAATTATTATAAAGGTTCTACAGTACACATTATTCGTCCGAATGTCTTACAAAAACTTTGGTACCTGCTCTGGTGGTTTCTTTTCCTGTTTCTTTTCTTTTCTTTTCTTTCCTTTTTGTTTACGCACTTTTGTCCATCTACTATTATATCCGCCTGAGAATATTTCGAGATAGTCACACACAAATTGCTATAAAATCACACGTTACATTCACACTTGGGGACAGAAGTGACGAAAACATCGAGTCAGATTTCCTTTTCGATTAAAAAAAAAAAAATCGAATCGCGATTAATACCTTCGTATTCGCGGACCAAGTTTGTTCGTAAAACGAACAACAAAATCAAGAAACTATACAAGAGAAAGTTTTGCCGTGATACTTTTAAGCATTTTTCGTTTCATAAGAGTGAAAACGTTTAATTACAAAGTACATGCTATTCTTGTCTTAATGTGTCGTTAAAGGCAGAATGCAGACTCTTTTCTTTCTTTTTTGTATCTTTGAGAAATTTTTCGAAACTGAAAACCTGAGAATACGAAGGTTTAAGCGAACTTGAAGATTTCACGAAAATATGTGCGTATATGTACATCATACGAATACTTTACGATAAAGCTTCTAATAAATATATAGATAATATAAGAGAGGGCATCGTGTACTAATTACAAACGTTAGAGAAATAATAATAATAATAATAATAATAATAATAATAATAATAATAGTAATAATAATAATAAATGTGATTGTACCGATAGCATGCCCTTTATAAGGTAACCTAAGAGCAGGAGGAACGTGCATATACCGAAAATGTTCGAACTTATTTTTAAGTCTGACTAAGCATTTAGTACAACAGCGCTTCTCGTTATATAAAATTCGAAGATACCTCTAACAAAGTGTTCACTATCGATAGATATCGTTTCGAAATCGATCGAAGTGAAACGCTAAAATTTTTGCGCATAATATACACAGACTCTGTACAGAAAAATACACGCATTGGGTTCTAGGCAAACTATTTCTTGACAAGAGTCTCGATTCAATGAGTTCATTGGCGTCCGTCTACCGGCTTTTATGGCAAAGTGATTTCAACAAATATTCTTCGCAAGTTAAACGATAATGACGGATTCGAAAATTGAAATAAAATCGCGGAATCGATTGGACATTGCGTTATCATCGTGTTGGCGTTTCAACGAACAAAAATAAAAATTCAAATTCAGAGAACTCTAACAGTTATATCATATCGTATATCGTGTACTTGGCGACAGTAATTTTACGTTTTATCTCTGTTACGATTCACGATCGTTCGGGGTACATCGAATTTACGACGCAACAAGTACATTGCAATATCATTTGTTCTTGTAACAACAATCTAGCATTACGATTTTCTTGCAACTATTCAATATACATTCAACAAACAGATGGTTAGACAGTGGTAGTTATAAATCGGACAATTTAGACACGGATTCGACACATTCATTCTTCGCGTGGACATCGATATTTAAGGTAATTAATTTCTTTAATACGAAATTCTAAGATAAAATTTCTTTTATGCAAACGCTGTTTTAAACAGAATTTTTATTAGCAATGGATTCCCGATATATGTATGTAGGTATGTGCATCATCCGTTTCACAGCGCGGCGTTAAAAAAAAATTCACGTTAAAAAAGCATTTGCATTCCGCAATAGCGCGTTCGAGTACAATTCTAAATTACACGAGAATTAACGTTGTGTACTTGGTTCTTCTACATATTTCAAATACACACTTCGTTACCAATCAGTAAAATTTGGTGTTTTGAATAGAAAGCTGTCGAGAGAGATCGAGGCTATATTCGAAAGTACAGTGTACGATCGATCGATCGATCGATCGATCGAACGATCGATCGATCGATTGATTTTTTTCATCGGATAAAATAGCGCGAAACTAAAATTACACGTTTCATCATGATATCCCGACACTGTGAACGCAAGTGTTTCAGAGATCCTAAGGATTCGTCGTCGCTTGCTAAAAACCTAAATTATAAATCACATCGTTTCTTCTCTTATTCTTGTGTAAGTATGTACGAAGGCTTTCATGGAAGAGCGTACTTTAAATCTGCAATACCTTTTCGCTAAGAACTTTAAAAAACTTCTACACCTTCGTCGTAACGAAGCACGTTTGATTCTCGAGGTAAACTAGTTAATAATTTATCGGTTTACTCGTTTAAAAGTTTAACTCTGTATAATCTCTCTAATTTCCTTAATGTTTAATCGAATCGGAAGTATGTTTTGTTAATCTATACGGTGATCCCTGATTAGTAATCCCTGTAAAAAGGATCTGTCACATATTATTTCAGCCAATTTGTTTGCGCGATGGAATTGCAATGTTCCGAGATGGTATGTATAGGAGATAAAAATCTTTGGTTAGCCAAACAATGCCTATTAATACGATCGTCGATTACTTATTTTCTGTACCTACGGCGATAGATATCTGTGACTATCCCCCATTGGTCACCGTTCAATTAAATTCTCCGTTAATCCGTGTTTCCTCGTAACACGTATATTTCTTTGAAACTTTTTCAGGTTTATTGTATTTAGGTATTCGTTCTCGATAAGATCATTCACCGGTTTAACCCTCTCATATAAAGATTCTATAACGATGTATCCTTACGAGTTTGTACTTGGTAATTTAAGTTTCGGATAGACCTTGAAAGCATGAAAGACCGACCCGCGACCCACTGTGGAATAACGAATGTTGTAAAATATATTTCCGGTTAAGTTAACGAAACACAGAACGTCGCGAAAGAGAATCATTTCGTTACTTGAAATTTTACGACACTTGAAACGGCAATAGAAATGCATAGCTAGTTACTTAAATCAAGAATGCAAATAAACCGTTACGAGGACATAAAATATTCTATATGGTAGAGTAAATCGTAAAAAACTAGGCATACGATCTTAAAGAAAATCATAATTTATCTTAATCGTTAACCCGTACAGTAATAGTCTAATAAATAATGTTTTTAACAATTACGTTAAATATTCTTCACTTGAATAAAACTGTATTCGTCTATCAGAGGATTTAAGCCTCACAGTTCCCCCGTCCCCTGCCACCGCCGCCGCCCCCGTTCCCGTCCCCCCTACCCAATACTTGTAACACAGAGTGTAAGAAAAATTCTTTAAACCTATGAAATAGGATAATTCGCGCTTGTATAGATATATGTATATATATTTAATTTAATTGACATAGTAATTATTCTCAATTGGAATGTTTATAAAGTAAGGCGTTTCGCAGTTTACACGTTTTAAATAACTCTGTAGTCACGCTTCAGAATGTACAATAAAATTTACATATGAGAGGGTTAAAGTCGAATCGGTAGATCCGATTGTGCCAGGTTCGCTTTATTACTCGCGAACAGCCATTCGATAGATGGAGGCGCGCGAGCGCGCATACTTCTGTCAATAATGAATTTCTTCGCGGAGCAAAATATCGAGGAACAGAAATGTTGAAATTGTCTGTTCGCGCGTTTGGCCTTGAAAAAAAAACCTAGTTCTTTTTCAGACGTAGTAGCCTAACGTAAACGGTAGAAATTTGAAATATTACATCGATGGAGATGATAGCAAAAAATAACTTTGAGTTATTTAAGCTACAAGTAGGCTATGTAAAGAGACTATTATGCATACTCGGGAAGAACATCAATCTCTGGTACATGATAATAGAGTTTGCACTCTAGTCGGAATCTTCTTCTATGGTTGGAGGTAACATAGCAAGATGTTGCGGGCTAAGCATCCCTCTAGAGAGTGCATACTCTGCCAATGCACGATGACAGAAGACGTACTGGTCTGGCATCTGAATACTATAGGCCCTCTGTGCTCTGATCTTTTCCACCGTCCCACGAATGTCTACGGTTCCGGTGTCCTCTAGTCGCGATATGCAAATATCTAATGTGCAAAATGTACCTAACCAGAGATTTCAATTGTTGAGTTACTTTCATATTCGATATTATCGTTCTCTCCTCTACACCCTGTATACCCGTACAAGTTCCTTCAATTACCTGTCCTTCCTATTCCGGCACTGCAATGTACAACTATAGGGGGTCCTCGTGGATGTCCAGCCCATGTGTCTCCTCTGTGCGCAAGTAATTTATTTTGTTGTTGTCTTACTAAGGCTAGAAACTGTAGCAAAGCCTTGGCCGACTGTGGAACACCATAATCCGGCCACGCAGTGTACAGCATATGGCAAACCTCCCTTGCCTCGTCAGTCTGAAACAAACAACAACACACACACACACACACACACACACACGTGTTACCCCGTTACAAGCATCGAACGACTCGATTTACGTTCCATTTCAGGGAAAAATCATACCTTGTTGTTTGTAAGGAGAAGCATAGATATCGTGTAATCGGGATTGGTATCAACTTCGAGAGTAGTTATAGTGAAACCACCCGCTTGCACTTCGTCGCCTGGTTCTGGACCCCAATACTGTGCACACTTTGTGCGTCCTCTTTCCACCACCCTGAAATTTATAGAATCCACGCGAAAGATAAATCGATGTAAAGTTTGTTATCGGCAAGCGTAACGAGTAAACGCAACGTACCTAGTAGTCATAACGATAACGAGCGCCTGTTGTTCCCAAATCATCCTCCAAAAATCTCCGCACGTTTTTGGAAGAGGACCCTGAGTACTGATAAACGCATTCTTTTGTTTGTAACCGTCGACAAAATTAGCATTTATATAATCGGTGCTGGCATCTCCGTCTATCTGAGACAGGCATACCCTACTATGATCGTAGCAAAGTACGTCCGTGTATCGATTTTTCGACTGGTTTACTCTCAATCTAAAAAACGCATTGCAGTTAGATCAGACGCGCCACAGCCATTACAGCCATTACAGCCATTACAGCCATTTACAGCCATTACAGCCATTTACAGCCATTACAGCCATTTACAGCCATTACAGCCATTACAGCAATAAATGTACGATAACAAGTGTGTACTTTGCATGGTTAAAAGAAGCTTCCGGCGGTCTTTGCCTGATCTCTGCGTATTCGGCTATGAGACCGGCACGACCCCTCGAATGAATGTCTTCGATAAGTTGTTCCATGGTAACGGCTTGAAGTCCAAGATCACCGTGGAGGCTATCGTCGTCGCTAAAACCTGAACTAGCCGAGGACGGAGGTTGAACTGGAGACGGTGCCTCGTCGGTTCCCATCCAGACATCACCGTTTGTAATCTCGATATCCCCGATATTCGAAACCCCATTTTTCACTTTACTCTTATCGATTATTGGACTAGTTGAGCTACTCACTGTAGTACCATTCGGATTCTGATGAGTCGTGTGACTTTTTGATGTGGGTGAAAGAGGACTACCCACTCTGGGGGTAACCTGAGAACGTATAAATAATATGTTAGACAAGGCCCATCGGATACGTCTACACATCCACGCGTCATCCGATCAAACTGACCTCGCAAAGTTCACCCCCGCCTCTGTTTGTCATGGATTTAAGACAGTGGAGCAGCCATGCCTCATGCTGTATCTCCAACGTGCCGCCCAAACGGTGTGGTAATGATTCTCGTGGGATATGTAACGTTAATTGAGGAATGGATACAGTAAATACTCTGTCCCTCAATTTTTCACGAACAAATAATCGAAGGATTTTAAACGGCGCTTTGAACCACAACGGTGCAGTCACTATCAAAACCTTTTTCAGTTTAGCCGGATAACCACCCTGAAACAACACGACAATAACAATCTGCACTTCCCCTCAAACAGTAAGTACACGGTGTTTCGAGTGTGTATGTATACGTACAATATTAGATTTTTATATACATATGTGTGCACGGTATAGTCTGCGAATACTGACCATGCATTCTAACACACGTACAAGTAAAAGAAAATTAAGCAAAATAATTAACGTTTGCGCAACACATATTACGATTACAACGATACAACGAGAATAAAAAGCATAAAATATAAATATATTCAGAGCGAGGTTTGATTTTAGCGCATATTGTATGTATACCTACATTGTTAAATGCTTTGTAACGAGCGGAGAAAAAAAAGAAGTATTAAACAGCGATCGGTTAACGTGACTGCATAATTTATTTTCGAAGCGGAGCGACTTTCAAATTTGACCTTTCAAAGACGATACAATAATAGAACGGTATACATATAAACCGAGACGCACGTTTAGTGCCAACTGTGAGCAATCTTCATACATATATGTATATAGATATTTAATGCACAAGAAAAGTTTTGTTTGAAAGGAAATGTGGAAAAGTGGAAAAGTGGAAAAGTGGAAAAGTGGAAAAGTGGAAAAGTGGAAAAGTAGAAAAGTACGGGATGGTGGTAGTTTCCAAGTAATTGAATGGAAAACTTCTGTCGTATAGGCTGCTTATCCGTTAGGTTAAACGATAGAGAATTAGGTCGAATTAGAACGAATACATAATTTGTATTACAAGGTCGTCGGACATGGAGAATTTCGTGTTGCTGGAAATGTACACGGCACGAAATAAATGTTTTCGTCGCATCGAAATATCGAAAATGCAGGAAGCACGGTAACTTAACCCTCCGTGTACCCTCTGTGGTGTGTATAGAGGGCGGAAGTACGGTAACGGCAACCGACGTCACCAGTACCACTACATCTTCGCGATCTTAAGTACACAAACCCCATTACATAGAAAGGCCACGAAACGATAAAGAAAATGCAGCCACGGTTTCGAATGTTTCGATCGCGAACGATTTCGGCTAACGATTTCAAGTAATCCTCGGTTGCTAGGCTCGTCGTACCGTGTACGAGATTAGAATTGGGAACAGCAACGATTACCCGGATTATATTCGGTCTCTCGAGTAGATAGCACAATCGGACAGTCAATCGATAGATTAGAATTTTCATTTACCGTAAACCGTCGAGCGATGCACGGTAAGCGAATACTGTATCGGGCATCGATGGCACAAGCACCGATTCGACGACGATCAAACAAACGAGCGATCTTGCGAATAAAAGTAGCGCGATCGGCGGAAAATTCTCGATCGATCACCGGGACATGGGCATGAAAGTCGATGGGATCGAAAAATCACTGCCGGCACTCGGTCAGTCAATCGATAGCGCGAAATTAGTATAACCGTGTTTGCACGGTTCACACGAATCGAACGAACGCCGATGCGTATCGGTGGACGCTGCTAAACATGGCACAACGAATTATGTACTACGTTCCGGTTATTCGACGACGAAGCGACACGATGTCGAACACGCGTCAAGCTTGAAGAAATTAGTCGATCGACGACGACTACCACCACGGAATCAGGTTGTATCTTCTTCTCCCGACCTGTGCACGATAATGCCGCAAAGGGGTCACGATGATTACTGACCGCGAGCGTCGCGACGTTATCCCGCGTACGCGCGCATGCGCGTTTACGACCCCTTCTTTATACCACCGCTCGCTCCAACATCCCTTACGCGAATTTCTTTTTCCCCGGCGAAGGTGCGATCCTACGTGCTGTGACGTATCGCGACAGCGATTCTCAATTCGCGGATCGATGATAAACTCGGCATGGCATCGTACCGAACAACAACCAACCAAACAACCAACCAACCAACCAACCAACCAACCAACCAACCAACCAACCAACCAACCAACCAACCCCCTTATCGCGTTATTATTTCGTGGGCTCCTACATATGTATACTAGATAGGATTTCATTGAAAGGATTTAATCGTTGAAGCGACGACTTTAAATGACAAGTTAAACATTGAATAAGATCAACTTTATTTTATACAGCTACTTAATACGATTCGGACTAATATACGTCTTAGAGTACACTTTTGTTAATAATATGTATACAGCTAAATTTTCGATAGTCTCGAGCCGTAATAAAATCTATTTAACTACAAGCTCGTTAACGGAAACAAGTTTCCTATTCGTATTACGAACAATGTGTCAGAAATTTACCTATCTGTAGAATAACAATACGTAACAGTTTGAAAAATGAAAAGACACTGGAAATGGTCGTAATTCGTTGATACGGCAATTTATCAAACGGTTTGTTAAGCGAAAAGAGCCAAGTTTAACCGTCGGAAAAAGTTTCGCGTTGCTATTAACGTGTGATCGCGCGCGTTATAAATAGGAATAATAGACCGGAAACGAAAGAGTATCGGGCCGCTATTATCCGAATGGAAAACGAATAGACATCGAGGCGTCGTATTTCCCTTTCGTGAGCTTTAAGAGTCGAGATCCGTGCGCGTATTCCGGAGTACAATTTCAGCTTGTTCCTCGTTTCCTGGTAAACAACCGACTAAACAGAAAGCTTATTTTTATCTTCGCGCTTGGCGACGTAAAGAACTTGTTATAAATAATTTCATAACTATTCTATAATTACGTCATACCGGTGAAACCTTTGAAATTCCCTTGTTCACGGAGCCCATGGCGCGCGGTTCACTGGGCAATTACAAGCTGGTTTTCGTCAACCGTGAACAACCCCTTAAGCTTTCCCGTTCTTTGAGACGCACCCCTCCTCCATGTATGTACGTATGTACGTATGTATGTACGTATGTACGTATGTATGTACGTATGTAATGATGTATGTATGATGTATGTATGATGTATGTATGTACGTATGTACGAGACGTTCCGGAATTACTTTATGTACTTTACCCTTCTCTATTATACCATCGGAATTGTGTGCGACGTGCTTCTCCGTATCGCCGTGGTGCGACATGCTTCAAAGTATTTTGTACCGTGAACGTTTGTATGACTGTGCGCATATTATATGAATAGTGTTTTTTCGCATACCGACGCCGCGCATACGTTACGCGTCCTGATTTCGTTCACAGTAAGAATAAATGCCAAATATGTTGATTAAATTTCCTGTGCAAAGGTAACGGCCTATATTTGGAGCGATCAATTGACAGTAACGACGTCTCTTTGTTTTATGGAGCTCTGCAAAATCCAGATGCGAATTTCCGAACAAGAAAATATCTAGGTCAATAACGAGATTGGTCGATTTGTCGAGTCGCGACAACACACGTACAATTTTTCTTCAGGATAACAAATTTCTTTATTCAAAGCTTAACAGTCTTTAGAAATAACTGACACAAGTTTAAAGATTTGTTTTTCTATCCTTTATATCGGAATATCATTTGCACAAGTTAAATCGTACGTTGTACGTGTAAAACTTACCTTCAGAAGGGTGAGAATCTTTTGCGAGAGGTCATAGTCAAAATTCTGGTACTTGCTGTCCGACATATCGTAAATAAAAACCAGACCATGCTTCTGAGTCTCTGCACTTTCCAGAGCCGCATCCAATTGATATACAACACCCTACAAACGCAACAGAAAATGTTTTATCGTTAGAAACGTGTTACAAAGAAGGTATCAAGTAAGCGTCGCGTGGTTAATCTTAGGTGCTATTATAAGATGAATTTGCACGAGCAAAAAATATAATATTATTGCTAGTTTACCCACTTGCAACGTCGTTTGGTGCGTGGTATTTTGTGGGAGATGCAAATGCGCTGTGAAAATAGCTACGGCTGCTCCTGTTGCATCCCTCGAAGGCTGAAACATTTTTCCCACGTCCCGTTTTAGTCGTGTCTACACGATGTAAAAGAATCGTTATATTTTGCATCGACTCTATCTCAGTATCCTTACTAAAACTGTAAATTTTCCTGTGCGTAGTTCGCTAAGCAAAGGTTCCTGGGTAGGATATAGAAGCGCCAGACCTTCTCTTCTCCTGGTGGCTTCGTGTTGTTCGTAGAGAGCCAATGCCCTTGCAACTTCAAACTTTCTTGCTGTTAAAAATTTTACAGCCGTGCTCCATGACACTGGACCGGCTCTCCTGCCAGCCCGACACTTGTTCACGGCTTCTATAAATTCCTTTGTGGCCTGCAAGTTGGAACAACGATTCCTGTCAGTTCCTATAAACGATTTTACTCGAGTTATACAATCAACTATAATTTTAATCACCGACACGTAAGAGTAATTTAAATCGAGACACGCATCGACTCTTGACACGTATTCAAGTCGAACAATAATTTCAAGTAAAGTTTCACAGTTTGAGCAGAATTAAAAGCGTACGACTTTCTACGAAATATCAAATTACTTTAATCAACCAAGTCCGGAAACGCGAGTCGATCTCGGTAATTCCTCGAATGATTATTAATCGAAAATAAGTCTACACGAGACGTTTAAAATGATCGAACGGTCTCACGGCGTTTCTACACTTTGAAAACGTGCAACAGTCATTCGTGAATGATTTGTGTACATGCCCTGAGTACCGATATAACTTCCGGTGTCCGACTACTACCTCCCCACCGGCTACTTCCGCCATAGTACGCTCGCCGGGGATCGGCACGGTAAATGGATAGGTTCGTTCCAGGGTCAAGAAGAAATTTAATATCGCGAATCGATACTTTTGTAAATCTCCTGTGAAAGTCAGTTCCACGAGCCGCTGCCTTATTATCGACGAGATGTCGCGTTTAAACGAATACCGCGCGTATATCGATTTTACCGTATTTTTAATTTCGCTTTTAAAACGCAACAACGCTTCTCTCTTTTCTGTTGCTGCGTTTATAGAACGGAAAAAAATTTCTACTCGTCAACCGCATGCTATTTCACGACTAATTTATCACGGCTACGAGGTCGTTTTCTCCAGCTAATTTATCACGAATAAAACAACGCGCCTGTTAGAGACTACGATCGACAAAGGAATCGTGTTTCTTTCAACCAACACCGATTGATTATTAAACATTTACGTGCACACGGCAATTTGTACGTGTTGCACGCATTCAACAAGCACACGGAATAAAATAAAATAATCGTCGCGAAATATTTGCCAAGAGCGCGTTAAACGAGTCGCGTATACCGGTTCCTTTTATCCCGCGATTATCCGTTGAAATTTTCTTTGAAAAAAATTCAAAGGACCAGACGAAGACCGAACGAACGAACGAACGAACGAACGAACGAACGAACGAACGAACGAACGAACAAACGAACGAACCAACGAACGATGTTTATATCTGGCGCTGGTGAACACACATTCGCGGCAGAGAGAGTATATCTCGAAAAATCGATCGCTGACGTTCGTTTCGGAATTTCCTAAAACGGTTTCGCGGCACGCATGTTCCGCCCCCGGATAAACGATTAATAATCGCTTACCTGTTCCTGCTCGACGGTTAACGTGGCTGCCATTTTGACTTTACGTACACTGTCATAACCGACAAAACCACAACACTAGCTAACACGTACTTATTTTTGACTCTAGCCTTTCGATTCTCCGATAGCGGTTGCACATTTTGTTTCACGGGTTCCGACGCACAACACGATTCTCGCGTTTCACGGCTGATTAGAATCACCGCGACGACAAGTAGATCGATCCGGTACGCTCGTTCATTGTCCGACGCTCGACACAGCTATAGCAGACCCGCCGCCGTACGAGACTCGTTCAGGTTCAGACGCTCGACGCTCGATCATCGTTCTCTCCGCAGGTTGAGCGCCATCTTGAACAGAGAACACGACCATGTAGGCGACACACTATACCACGTGCTACAGGCTGCTTCAAAGTAAACGTAACAACCATTGCTCGATTTACCGATTAAGCGATAACGCAAACAATAAATATTCTCGATACGTAATATTTTAACTAAGATAAAAGATTCCGATACTGTGAACTTACTCTTAAGCGAATAGCAATAATTATATGTATATTATAATAATATTCTCGTTCCAATAGTTGTACATTTCTTGTATTTTACAGGTTGAACAATTTCTCTTATTATTAGATGTACATATACTTGAAAAATTCTATAACATTTCGTCCGCGCGTTAAAAGTTCAAGTGTCGGGGGCCTTTTATCTTCTTTATGTCGGTAACAGATGTAAAAGTTTCTCGCACTCGATACGAAATACCCTATAGCATAGTCTAGAACCGGGCAATTTTATTTAAAATGGACCTTTTAAATTCTCATCGTTTCGTTTATAAATGTACAACCGATCGATTTATTTGCAATATAACAATTTTAAATACCGATACCATTCAATTACTTTTATTATACATATTGGATAGAGCCGATTCAACTCATACTGGTGCACGTATATTTCGAATACATAATGTTATTTCGAAAGTGGTCAAGTTCGCAACGTACCATAGCAATACATGTAAGTACCATAGTTTTATCTGTCGTCTGTCCTTCTCGCGCCGGATATGTGCTATCATTGACCAAGAAGTATAGCCATCGTCAAAACGCTCTGCAGAAAGTTTTAGCTCCGATATTAGGAGATTTCGTGCGAAATCAACGCCGGAAACAAGGCGTGTGTATTCTACATATAATGGAAAAGGAATCGTCGTCACTCTCTATTATAATCGGGGCACGTAATAATACGTGTCTCGTTTCCGCACGATCGGGTAGCTGAACATATCGATACGGTTTTCATTTTACAGCCATTTTTAGTTCACTTTTTCTGGGATAAAAACCATAGCTTCGAGCTGCACAAATTTCTAAAGAGTTATTCAAATTTGTAAAATGTTTCGATCGAACACCGGGAGTACATACTTACTTAATGAAAAACGAGATCTTTCTCTACCATTCTTATACTACAGCCACTCCCACATTTTTCAGCCGATTCTTCATTCGATTTCTCCTTTTCCTCTACGATTCTTTCATCTTTCTATCCTTTAGTGTCAACGTTACCGAATGCATCTTTAAATGCCGTCTGAAAAGATATCTCCTAGCAATCCGAATCGTCAATTACACATTGAGAAATATTCTCTACCAAAACTGACTTTTGGTTTACTTTTTTACATTTTATCGCCACTCGGGATTTCAACGATTCTTCGGTAAATCCTAATGAAACATCAAAATATGAAAACAAACACTTTAGAAGAATCGAATAAGGAGGTCAGGGACACTATGGGAAACCGTAGTGTCTCTAAAACTCTTGTCGAGAAAGAAGTAGGCGAGAATTTCATCTTGAATCCTTGCCAACGAGCAACAAGTAAGTACCTAAGTACTTCTACCTACATACGTCATCTGGAAGCAACAAGTCTGCTAATGAAATTAACTTTTAAACTTTCTATGTACGTAGTCATCTCAGATCTTTGAAAAGATTCGTTTATCACTGTCTCCGTGCTAAGTATGTACATATATGTATAATAAAATAAAAAAAAAAAAGTACATGGCGCATTCTACTAATAAAAGGGACAGAAAGAAAGAGAGAGAGAGAGAGAGAGAGAGAGAGAGAGAGAGAGAGAGAGAGAGAGAGAGAGAGAGAGAGAGAGAGAGAGGGCTGTAGAAATTCCTGTGATCCGTAGGGAACATGCGGCGACATATGTCAAACGTATAAATATATCTTCCGCAACATTATAAAACAATAACACACCTTCGCACAAACTCTACTTTAAAAACATCATCCCGCCGGACTTTAAAAGAGACACACTGGATGGAAATGTTTTAACCGCAACGATCGTTTGCGCGAGGTTCGTTGCTGAAAGCTAAAAAACAACGGGAGAGGAAAAAGAAGGAGAGTAATAGGGAATCCCTAGGAGACCTAGCCTTAGACGCTGCGATATCGCGTAGATACTCGAGAAGAGTATACGTCTACATATAAGTACATAGAAACAGAAGGGCCTGTCAAACATCTGCGAGAAAGCAAACCCTCTGGTGGCGAATACAGGAGGTGACCCTCACATTATAAATAATTGAGGCGCCATCTAGCATCGAAGACAGCAAACTATTTCTCGATAAACTTGAACCACACAAGTACGAGGTACATATGTACCTACTTACAGCACTGCACATAATGTGCTTGGACATTTCGACATGGCTGGCGGCGTCGTAAATCTTTCGTACGACCACAGACGAGGTATACGAGTAGACCTTTCACCCAATGTATTTTTTCGGCCCGTTTCTCTGGATTCTCGAGACCCCATTACCATTTCCGTGTCACTCGCAACGTTACCAACAGATTTCGAAACGAACACAAGAGGAAGTGAGACGGAAAATGAAATTACAGAAATTTTAGTATTTTTTAACAGAATGAAAGCTGTACAGTCCAGAATTGAACATCGATCGATTAATTTCATTCGAGTAACCAATCGATCAAGATTATTAAAATACGTACGGATGTAAGTATGTACCTCGTTTATAAGTATGGACACCGCAAATCCTCTGTTTTTTATTTTAAATTCTAATATATCATTTATTTAAAAACTAACTCGGCAACAAACGTATTTGCGACTCGAAATCAGTGTTATTTGACCGCATACCAGGGCAAAGAAGGTATGTGGAACTATAAGAAGAACGCAGCCATTAGCTCATATCATTTACTATGTAATTAATAGAATTATTAATTACATAGTAAATGATATGACCCAGGTCTCACCACGAGGAGGTTGCTGCGTCTGGAGACCCGCCCTAGCCTCGCCCCAACCACCCTTCCTTTGCCGAGGAATTCCAATACCTATCGAATACCTATCCGATGGAGAAGCTATCGAAAAGTTCGAAACGAGCTAGAAAAGGAGCGTTCTTAAAAGAACTGGCCAATCAAGAGACGAAGAACCTAACAAAATGTCAATATATGCGAGATGATACACATGTTTTCGAAAAACGAAATTGAAATGTACAACTGCATGCACGAACTCTGACCGATCAAGAGATCGAAAACCTAAAAAAATGTTGATACATGTGAGATAATCCATCACATGTTTTCTAGAAACGAAATTGGAATGTGCAACTGCACGTATGAATCCTGATTACTAAAGTATCAATATGTACTTTATTATTAATTGTTCCTTCTTAAATAAATACTTGCATTATGAGAGTGCCTAACAAGACACTCGTACAAAACGAAGAAACGATCCTGAAGATCCAACCAGAAATGTGCAACTGCACGTATGGACCTTGCATATTAGTAATATTAATCATACCCACTTAAATTTACGCACACGTTTCGGTAATATTTAATAAAGGGCAGGAGAACGCTTTTTCATCTTATAATCTATATACATTTGTACTTATATTCGAACGCAAACTGTAGAAACATGAAGAAATACGAGGAAATATTTTCTTCATGGTGTCTTCGTCGATCCCACGATGTTTTTCTAAAACATACACTCATATACAATAAATATAACCGACTTGAAACAAAGAAATATGAAAAAATATTTCTTCTTGGTATCTTGATCGATCCCACGATGTTTCCCTGAAACATAAATCAGACGATAAATAAAATTGTATGAAATATTTCTCTAAAAACTAACAAGATGGAATCCGTGTATCATTTCCAATTCCATTCTTCGATAATTTTATATTCTGTAACAAGAACTTGTTCAAAGGATTAAAAGCTGAAACGAAAGTGTATTAATTAACACAGAAAAAATAATTATATACCGTTCAAGATAGACTGACTAATCGTAAATTCCACGAGTAAAAATTAATATTAAAAAGTTTAAAAGCATAAATATTACGTGAAATTGAATGAAAATTCGTCTCATCGTTAAGATAAATTCGAAATAGATGGAAAATTTTATTCATTCGTTACCGTACATTTTATTTTTCGTTTCCTTTATGAAATAAACAATTTTTCAAGACGTATACATTGCAATAAATATATTTTACTGTATTCAAAACTAAATTAGGTTCATATAGAAAAAGTAACAGCGAACGAAAATTTTACGCGGCAATTAACTCTCAATATGAAATATCCAATTGCAATTTGCATACCCTTTTGATGCAACCATTCTATTTTCCATCGATTAAAACAATGATCGCGAACAAACTTTGATTTTTGCAAAGAATACAAAATATTTATAAAAAATTCGCTATTTATAAATAACAATTGAGTTGCAAACGTTATTATATCCCGTAAAAATAACTCTAATAATGAATAATTAGTGACATAATATATGTATATTGGAATCATAAAATTAATCATAATATAGCATTTTTAAATGCATCACAAATCTCTGATAAAAATACATTCGTATAAATTATAGATTTTAACACGTTATAAAGAATGAAACAATTGGTCTATTTACAACAGTACTTTTAAGCAGTATTTCCTTTGACAAATATATAAATATAGATAAACGTCCACTCGTGTTAAATTCAAACAACCCGTCAGTGGACCATTCTTTCTTTCGCAACGCTAATTTATAAAATACAAAACTATACGCGAATGGTGCTTGTTATTCGGAAAATGAAGCATACAGGGTTCCTTTATTAATTAAATCGCGTGCACCCATATTCAATCATACGCAACACTAATTTTAATAACGACGTTGAGCCATTCGAGGCTTTGTAGAATCGCCAGCTTGCTTCTCGATGATCCTGATGCAGTGGCCAGCGTTTTGGCCAGCGTTTTGGCCAGCGTTTTGGCCAGCTTTTGGCCATTCAATCGCAACTCTAATTAATAAAAAACGCGACAAGTATAGATCGCAACGCTAGTTTATAATAGAAAAATTCGAAACGCGATTTCTAACGATAAAAGCAACCGCGAATGGTGATTGTTCGCAACACTACCCTGAAAAGTAAACG